ACATACAGATCTCCAAATTCACCGCTGCGCAATTGATGGCCCTCATTGGCAAAGGGCATCTTCAACATGTGCGGCATGCCGGGCTCAATATCCACTGTGCGCTTCATTTGTTGCTCAACAAAGCCGGTACCGGTGCAAGACTTGCAGCGCATCGTCTCCTTAATGTTGAATCCTCGACCATCGCAGCTGGGGCAAACCTGGACACATATTGGATATTAGGTAAGAAATACTGATTTCTAGTTTTGCTCTTACCGCATCGAACGCGCCAAGTCCCATAAATGTAAATGCTGCGGCACGGCCAACACCGCCGCAGGCCTCACAGGGTTCGCGCGCATTCGGTGGACCGCCATCACCATTGCACTTGTCACATAGCTTCTGCCGCTTGTAACTCACTGATTTTTGTTTGCCACCCACGTACATTTCCTCTAGCGTCAGTTCCATTCTTATCATTATTCTGCCGTCGCGTCTGCCACGTTCGTTGGACGTGCCGCCAAATGGGAACCATTGCGCAAAAAATTCCGAGGTATCGGTAAATCCTTCCGCGCCCTCCTGCAGTCCCTTTATTCCATGGCGATCGTAGATGCGACGCTTCTCCGGATCGGAAAGTACTTCATATGCAAACGATATTTCCTTAAACTTGTCGCCCGAGTCGGGGTTCTTGTCCGGATGAAATTCTTTGGCCAATTTGCGATAGTTCTAAGTTAAGCGCGTTGTATTAAAATTGAAATGGGTAATAAGACCTCGCACCTTCTTGATTTCGTCCGGGGTCGCATCTTTGGTCACGCCAAGTACTTTGTACAAATTTAGGTTTTCCATTGCGATTGCGCGGTAGACCCTAAATTAAACGAAAATGCCCACACATACTTTTATGAATTTTGACTTTTTTATGATTGTGACACAATAATTTTTAGTTCATATTGCTATGATGCTTATTTGTTTGTTTTCTTTGTATTTTCCTATTCGCCCTATACCAATAATCCTAAGCAAAACAGCTGTGTTAACAGCTGCGCAGCCACTGTATATGCTTACCGAACTCTTAAAAAAAATAGCTCCTCTACTTATTTTTCAATGTACTCCTTAATTATTCATTTTTAATTTTGTTTTCGTAACCAAATACTATAACACTTCAAAATCAAAGAATGCAAAAGAAAATAGTAAGTTCATTGTTAGGGGTGACTGTGGCGACAACCAAAAATTAAGTGCTGTAAAACGCAAAAATATGCTATATATGCATAAAAAATGGTCAGCCTAAATAAAAAAAAGTGTCACGACAATATCAAACTATTCCATATTTAAATATATGTGTACAAAATAATGCATATCTTCACACATATTGTCATGTATGATCCCTATATATAAGGTATTATTCCCTATTTTGCAGTCGAGCACCACATTCTTTTTGCGTGACCATATGCTGGTTGGCTGCAAAATACCGACATGAGTCATCAATGCGCGTCTCTGAAGATAACACGTTGGGCGTGGTGAAATTTAATTATTTGTTCCAACGTTTGCTTTGGGCACACTGGGCGGTTTGTACGTCACATCATCGGAAAATTTTCCAGAAATTACGTACAAATTTCACGAAAATATTTAATTGAAAATTATTTTAAAAAATACACAAATTTTAATTTAAACGTAAATATCGGATATAAAAGTGTTCAAATTAAAAAAGTGCATTTTTTATCAGCTAAACAAAATTTTTACGCAAGCAAAATGGTTGCTGAGTAGAGACGTAAAAATTTTGTGTGTGTACCAACGAAAGAGAGGAGAAAACGGAACGCGAGAAAGTAAAAAGAAGAAATCGTAACTACCCGCTGGTAGTGTGCGTGAGTGTGTGGTAAGAAGCAGACAAAGAGAAATAGACGAAAACTGTGTTGCGCCTGGAAAAATGATGGAAAACTATGAGGACATGAATATCCGACTAGGACACATCAACTCGAAAGAGCTTATGGCTGTCCACGAAGTCAAACTACAAAACGGACACGATGAACTTAACAGTTTTGAAAGCTCACAGGCGAATTTTGATTTTGGCGCTGAAATTCTGACAACAAACGTTAAGCCAGCAGCAGCAGCAACAACATCATCAGCAGCAGCAACAGAAGCGACGACGCCAGCAACAAGCGAAACGCAACCAAAAGCAAATAGTGAAATCAAAACAAAAACATTGCCTCAAATGGGAGAACAAAAAATTGGCGCCAATCGAAATGACAAAAATCAAATAAATGAATTGGAGCAAAGTGACCAGCATAGAAAAAGTCTGGACAAGTCCTTTTCCGAGGCGGATGATGACGATGAGGGGGATGAGGATGAAAATGAAGATTACAAATCAAGGTATATACCGTTAAACGAGTTGATGCAAAATATTTTACAGTTATTGGTGACATGCCCAAAAGCCCAAAAAATAACAAATTTAACTTATTCATACATCTAATACTAAACAATATATAATTTTTGAGCAAAGAAGTTCGAAGTGTATTTGGAAATTATAGTTAAATAAAAATTAATTTATTTTATTTTATTACTGGTTTCTTTTTTTTGTAACACAATTGGCATACAATTTCAGTATATGAACTGGAAATCTAAATAGAGCTTAAAACCATATTTTGTTTAAAAAAAATAATTATTTATAACTTTTTTAGCTGGGCCAACAGCGATGACGACGATGACGATGACTCGTCCAGCTCGGACTGCTCGTCGGTGGGTCGCAGCGACTGGAAGCTGCGTTGGCTCCAGCGCGAATTTTACACTGGTCGCGTGCCACGCCAGGTTATTGCCAGTATAATGCCGCACTTTGCCACTGGTCTGGCCACGGACACAGACGACTCGGTGCTGTGGGACTATCTGGCACACCTGCTCAACGAGCCAAAGCGTCGCACCAAGCTGAGCAACGTGAACACTTTTGACGATGTCATCGAACTAGTGCACAAGTCGGAGAGAATTATTGTACTCACTGGAGCTGGTGTGTCTGTATCTTGCGGCATACCTGATTTTCGCTCCACAAACGGCATCTATGCACGGCTAGCGCATGATTTTCCCGATTTACCCGATCCGCAGGCCATGTTTGACATCAACTACTTTAAGCGCGATCCACGGCCTTTCTATAAATTTGCTCGTGAGATTTATCCAGGCGAATTCAAGCCCTCACCGTGCCACCGATTCATCAAGATGCTGGAGACCAAGGGCAAACTGTTGCGCAACTATACGCAAAACATAGATACATTAGAGCGTGTCGCAGGCATTCAGCGGGTCATTGAATGCCATGGCTCATTTTCGACGGCCTCGTGCACCAAGTGCAAGTACAAGTGCAATGCCGACGCCCTGCGAGCGGATATCTTTGCCCAGCGCATACCCGTCTGCCCCCAGTGCCAGCCGAATGTGGAGCACAGTGTTGATGCCTCTGTCGCTGTTACAGAGGAGCAGCTGAAGCAGCTTGTCGAGAATGGCATCATGAAGCCCGATATTGTCTTCTTTGGTGAAGGTAAGTACTCACTTTAAAATTAACTAATAATTTAAGTTTAGTTGATTATAAAGATTCAGTCTCCCATTGAAATCAATTTGGTAAACGAAGGATATGTTGAGATGCTGCCAGCTTACCTTCGTAAAAAATAAATTCTGGCAACGCCACATTCCGACAATCAACTGTTTATGGTTCTAAATGAGACATTTTAAAAAACTATGCCGTTTTCCAACACTTAACTGTGTTGCTAACAATTCATCAGAGGTTTCATTCTATGGCTATAAATATAATTTTTCTGCTCTGATGAGCGTAAGAGGGCGTCTTATAAAATCTTCATAGAATATTTATAGCATAGGCGTAATTCATATATAACTTGCCTCGTTTATAGGATTGCCGGATGAGTACCACACAGTTATGGCCACGGATAAGGACAAATGCGATTTATTGATTGTGATTGGCTCTTCGCTGAAGGTACGCCCCGTCGCACACATTCCCAGCAGCATACCCGCCTCGGTGCCGCAAATATTGATCAATCGCGAGCAGCTGCATCATCTCAAGTTCGATGTTGAACTATTGGGCGACTCGGATGTTATTATCAACCAAATCTGTCAACGTCTATCGGGCGCCGGTTCCACCTACGATGACAATGACTGGAAGCAGCTATGTTGTGACGATCAAGTGTTGCGTGAATCCAAGGAGCTATTGCCGCCGACAGAGCATCATTATTACCATCATCATCATCACCATCATCGGCATCGAAGCTCGGAGAGTGAGCAACAATCCCAACTGGACACAGACACCCAATCGCTTAAGTCTAATGGCTCTACTGATTATTTGCTCGGCTCCTCGGCAGGCACATGCTCCGACAGCGGCTTCGAGTCTTCCACATTCACGGCAGTGCACAGCAAGCGCAACCACCAGCAGCAGCAGCAACCACAACAAATCTGCAGCAGCAGCAGCAACATCACCAACCACAGCAACGCAGACGAATCCGCCGCCATTGAACGTATCAAGAGCGACATACTCGTGGAACTAAATGAGACGGCATTGAGCTGCGATCGACTTGTAACTCCAGCGGCAGCTAGCTCATCGTCCAGCTATCGTCATCTCTCCATTGATTCCTCCAAGGACAGTGGCATTGAGCAATGCGAATTCTCCAATGCCAGTAATATCGAAGCCAATCGTGGCTATGCCAGTAATATGGATCCCAGCATTGCCGCGAATATGGTGGTGGAAACAAAGACAGCCGCACCCAGCTTGACGCCTACGCCGCCGCAGCGGCCGCAACGTCAGACTACGGCTGAACGTTTGCAGCCCGGAACGTTCTACTGCAATCCGAACGGTTGCTCGTATGTGTTTCCAGGCGCTCAGGTGTTCTGGAATAGCGATTGCAGCGATGACGAGGATGATGATGATGGCGCAAGTGTGCGTGACGGCGATCTCTTTGGCAATGTTGTGGCCAGCGATGAGGAAGCGTGCGATTTAAATGCGGTGCCCCTGTCACCGCTACTGCCGCCAGCCTTGGAAGCACATATTGTCACCGAAATTACCAATGGCAGCGCCATGGATGTACCGGTTGCACTCTCTGCCGCGAGCAGTCCCAGCAACAAGCGACGCAGTGCAGCATCCACCGAAGAACAGTCGCCTGCGCCATCATCAAACATCAATCCGGAAATTGAATCTGATACGCCGCCCATTAAGAAGAGGCGGCCCAGCGTAGTAGCTGCAACAGCTGCAGCTGCATTAACAACTGTGTAAATGTTTAGATAAGTTAATTATTTATTTCCATTGCGACTTGGAAGTCAATTGAATTTGGACTCAAGAGCCTAAACACTATTTAATGTCTAGAGAAGCTCAACACAAACTGTATTTGAGGCTTTTTTCCGTTTTGATTTGTCTATTGTTTTTCTTCGAACTCTGAAAGCCCAAGTTTTGTAGTTGGTTCTACGCAACCCCTTTTGATATTTTTTTGCAAATTTAGTACATATATTTATTCAATATGCGAGTGTGTAAAATGTTAGTATTTTTATCATGTTAAGTTGTTGTTGAGGCCTTTTAGTTAATCCACTGAAAGCTGGAGGGAAATGCACGCAAATTCCAAAACAATTTGCATATCGTTAGCGCATGTTGCTTCAATATTCAAATTAGGCTAAGCTTAAAAGTATATAATAGATATAACTTTTTGTAGCATTTAAGATTCTGGACAAAAGAACACCCTGTATATAGGCATCTTTGTATATGTAATTTTTTCTATTTCCTATAATTGAATATTCTGTTTCCTTATTTCTAACTTTCGGTTATGGCAGCTTTATATATAAACATATTTGCATTCACATTTACACTTCACACACACACACCCACTCATTCTTATACAAACACACACACACACACACACACACAGTTATATATTAACTTGCCGTAGAGTGCGAGTTAGAATGTTTAATCAAAAGTTTAGCATAATTATCAAATCATAATAGCCACCAAACGTATGTGTAAAAAATGATATACTAAGCACTAGTTGTAATATACCAATCTATAATGTATTAATGTCAAAAAAAAAAAAAAAGTAATAAATCAATTTATTAAAAGTTGTTGAGCAGCTACAAAGGCATCCATCCGATAATTGGGTTTATATTGGTGTCAAACTGGCAAATAGAAAACTGTTTGGAAAATAATTAATAAATCTGTTGTAATGTGTTTTGCAGAATACTTGTAATATTCCTAAGTCAATGTAAAAAACAAAAATAATGTGGTTTGTTCAGTTCACAGCTCGAAGCAAGTTCTTGTCTCGAACTTGTAAAGGTGAAGCTTTTGGTTTAAACCTTAGTTTGGTTTATGTTCAAAATTCGAATGAAACAATTAATTTATATTACAATCGCCCGTTGTACTGAAAATATTGAAATCCCTACATATTTTCATATATAAAATCCGGGCTACATTTGACCTCTTCCCAAAATTGGCATCTATCGATATATGGATAAATGCAATAATTGGGACCAAAGTTATTAATACTTTGGAGTTGGGTCTGCCATTTTCTTTTGTTCTAAAACAAAAAAATAAGTTTCGTGCTCAAATCGGTTGGGCTTCAACCAGATTTTCGGCATTGATCTAATTGAAATAACTAACTTATTTTTGCAAGGTCGATTAAAAACTTTTTTGCATGTTCTTTAAACCAACTCCCCTCTATGCGAATCTCAAATATTCATGCTTCGACTAAAAATCAGTATTGTGTACGCTTTTCGAAAGCGAAAGAGATCCCAGACGAATAGAACTAAAATAAGTCGTTCACCTTTTGCAATTTTGAATTCGGTTTTATTAGACATTAGTTGATATCTTAAGCATATCTAGATACATAGTATTCTAATTTAAGTTTACCTTCTTAAGAAGTACTCATTTATGGTACATACTTAATTCATGCAATATGCTGGGATTCCACAACATAAAAAAAAAATTAAATCAGCACGACGACGAGCGCTGCAATTTGTATTGGGCCTGTTTGCTTACGGACTAAGAGCAACTAGCTCTGCTCTAAACTGGATGCATGTGCTCACGAGATGCTGCCTAATTTTCTGGATACTGTCTAGTGTACAATTGTTTTGCTATCGATTCTTGGGGCTGCAATGCGAGAACGAAACACAAGTCCTATGTACACCTTAGTAAACCTAACCGGTACAATATGATTATATACCCAAATATATATATGTATATATATATTTAAGGTTTTGTGTGTGTGTATGTATGTACATATGTATTTATATGCTGTATCTTATGCTTTCGGTTTGTTGCTACAATTATAAAAATATGCGTGAAGTTATGATAAAAATGAATTACCCCAATTCACTTTGCTATATAGAAACTCTGACTGATAACATGAGCATACATTAAAGACTACTACGGCGATACGTGTTTATATATGTTTGTGTATATATATATAGAGTAGATATAAAATAACGCGCTGTGAGACTTGAGTTAGTTATACAAACTGTATATGGATACTTAAATCCATTATAGGCAACGTATGTGTTTCGATTTCAAGTGCTAACAAAATACTTCAATTTATATATATATATATATATATATATATATTGTATATATATATCTATAATAGGATATAATATACATGCTATATATGTATCATAATATGCACGTGTAGAAGCGTGCGTTTCATCGGTGATAACATTTGTTTCAAAAAATTAAATACAACTACGCTTGGCTTTGTTAAACTATGTTTAAGTTTAGTTTCTGGCATTGAAATAATAATGTCCTTCATGATGCCGCACTATAAGAACTGTGATTTGTTAGTCTTGTGTGATCTGGACTTGCTGGGATTTATTTTGCACTTAAGTTGCGCAATGAGGTCAGAGATTTTGAGCGCAGGTCCCACTTTCATGCCCAGCAACGGCATTATATCATCCTTGGTCAGCTGCAGCAGACGCTTGCCATCGATCTTATTACGGCTGAATGTGTCGCAGTGAGCCGTGCAGTCGTTAACTCGTAGAAACTGGGAGACATCATACACATTCCAGGTGTCTGGCATCAGTTCCAGATGCGCCTCACTCGAGTCGACATCGGCCAAACGTGGAATGTACTTGCTGTTCGTCACCGCAGAGTTCTGTGTGCGTGTAAAAGAAAACAAAATTGTAAGTTCATATACTTTGACTATTTTCAGCTAGTTAGTTTTGGAGGCGTGGCTGGGCTTTGAGCTGGTTGAATGGTTGATGAAGCTATGCAAGTACCAAAATAACAGTGCGTAAACATAAGTTATATACAAATTGCATTCAAATTTTGCTGATTATTTGATGAATATTAATATATATATATTTATATATATGCTTGTAGGTGGGCTAGCGGGCGGGCGGGCGTTTGATTGTTTCTAAAAGCTATACGCACTATTATCCCCAAGTACTCACCGCAATGTAACTAGTGGCTTTGCGACCCATAATTGGTGGCGCAGGAGATTTAGTAGTAGAAGATTTCTTTACCATTGTTTTGCTGCCATTGCCGCCGCCGGCTGCTGGCGTTACCGTGCTGCTGGCAGCAGCAAGACCAACTGCTCCAGCAAACTGATCCGAGTTTGTGGTTGACTGTTCGGACATGTGGCTGGTGCTGCAATCAGCATCAGCATCATCCTCAGCAAGGCCGTCCTCATCCTCATCCTCCTCGACTTGATTATTCTCATAGAAGGCAGCATTGTGATGCTCCGGCTTCAGTTCCAGCTTAATGCTTAGCTTGGGCAAGTGCGGCGTGGTCTTTAAGGCTATCGTGCGAGGTTTAACTGCTGAATATGTGTGGCATTATAAGCCAAGCTAGCTTTACTTGATATTTTAAGGACCCACCTGTCTGCATGTTATTGTCATGTTGCAATTGTTTGTTACCGGCAGTGCCAGTTGCGCCGTTGGCTCCCTTTTTAGTCTTGCGTTTCCTTTGCACCTTGGGCTTGGGCGCCGGCTTGGGCTGTTGCTGTTGGGCAACGCGCGGTGGTCCCTCCAGTTTGTGGCCAACAAGCACACACCAACCGACCGGATATATATCCGCCGACTCGCAGTCCAACCATTGATCATACTCGTCCGTCCAGCCATCGAAGTGCACCTTGAGCAGGCGGCCAACCACACGCGCCACTGTTGCCACACATACCAGTCGCGGGTCCATGAGATCGGCACATTCCAGGCTCATGCCGGTTTCGAATCCATGATCGGGCACAATACGATGGAATAGATGCTGACCAGCCGCAACGGCGCCTGTGTCGCGCAAATAACCCTCCCAGGTGAACGTGCGTGCATCGTAGCCGTTCGGCGGCGTCACAGTTATGCCATTAGCATCACAAAAGCCAGCCGGAAAGATGCAGGGCGACTTCTCATGATAGCAGAACCTGCAGATTCACAAATATAATCGTTTTGATTTATATAATATTTTGGCTTTTAAATCGCGGGCTGGCTCACCAATCTGACCCTGAGGCATCCGGTTGATATGAATCGATGCGTATCATCATATAGCCAAACTTAAGAACAGCCATCACCGTGGCGGGGCAAATGGACGAGAGGTTAAGCGGATCGACGGCCTCTATCTTCATCCCGTCGATAAAGCCGTTGGTTTTTCCATCCAGAAAGTATTCATCAAAGGTAAAGTTCATCTTGAACAGCTCAATTGTGGCATCGTCCTCGTGTACCTCAATCATGGCCTCACGACCCGCTGCAAAACAAAATATATATCAAATTGAGGATTCAGTTGGAATGGCAATCAGCCGTGTACTTACCCAACATGCGCTCCAGATAGTCTTGCGGCGCCGCCAAATTGTGTCCAACCGTGGTTGCCCAGCCGACGGGATGTATAATAGGCGAATCCTCGTGACACCAGAACCCATCATCCGAATCAAAGTAGCGCAAAAACAGGCGTTTACCCACAATTTTGGTTACTGTGGCCAAGCGCACCTGCGAAATGCGATCCTTGTCAACGCATTCAAGATTCAGGCCGAGGCGGAAACGTGACTGTAGACTATCATTGACCTTGTTATAGAAATTTGAGGGCAATGTGCGTGCACCAGACAGACGTCCAACGAGAAAATCCTTCCAATCCTTGTACTTGTGCTCTATGGTACGTGGTGGTATCAATGGCTTGCCGCGCGTTGCACACCAGCCTACCGAATGGACTTCGGCATTGCAGAGATTCACCCAAAAGTCGTGCGTGTCCATGTCAAAGCCCTCGTAACTCATTAACGCCTTGTAACCTTTGATCTCCAGTATGGTAGCCACCCAGAACGATGTGGGCGTCTGGCCCGGCTGGATGATTTCAATGTTATCGCAATCCGTGTTCTCCACCTCCACTTTCATGCCCACGCCCAGATTATCCCACACCTCATAGCCGGGCGCGTGTGGAAAGCAGGTAACGGGCGCCGCATAAAAATTATCCTTGCCCAGACGCGGCAACCAATCATACGAGTGCGTTGGATCGTACATACGCCGTCGTATGCTAATGATTTTTTCCATTTGTGGGCATGGTGCCGGAAGACGTTCGTATTTGGGAATCTGCGGCAGCTCATCCTGCGGAAATACATCACGAAACAGACGCAGCGCCTTAGGCGTTGGCGCCGCATTCACAAATGTATTGCTGGCGGCAGCGTTGACCTCACTGCCGCTAGCTTCAGCCGGGGGCGCTGCAGCATCCCCAACTGCGCCGCCATTCAGTGCCGCAATTGTCTCATCCGTGGACATCTGCACATTGTTGGCGGCAGCATCGCCGCCCAGTGACATGGGCTCCCCAAACCCATTTAGCTGCGTTATCTTCGACTGATCTGTGATACGAAAACGATAGTTTGCATTTTTGATATGTGCCGCTTGCAGCGTTAGCTCAATGTCCGATTGGTGCTGCTGCTGTTGTTGCTGCTGTTGCTGCGCATCCGGTGACGATGCGAGGTTCTCCTCCAATGTGGCTGACGACTCTGACATTTCCAGGGCTGGCGCTGGTGAGCTGCTTGCATCCATTTTGCTATTCAGCACCATTGAGTAGAGCTCGCCACGAGCACAGGCCATGCTGCAGAAGCGTCGCGATTTCGTGTAGAATGTGTGCTTCACACCGATGGCGCCACAGCGCTCGCAGACAGCTACAGAAGCAGATACAAAAATATGGCTGGATTAGTTGAAAAGTTTAAGGGCAGTACGAACAATTCCCAATTACAATTACAACAGTGGTCGCTAGGATATTCGCATTTTTTCGATTATTTTTGAGAAATGTATGCCCTTATACACTTATTATTATTTTCACTGTATCTTAAGCCTGCGTGTCTTCTGTGTTTGAGCGTCGATCTTATAAACGGGAAGTCGCTGGTTCAAATGCAGCAACAATTTTTGATTGCCTATGACCTGTATATTCTTCAAGTTAGCACGAATTACAAAGTCCTCTCTGAACATCAAACACGACTAAACCATATAGATTTCATAGGAACTATCAATAAATAATATTTTAGCCTAACATTTATTTTGTTTTTCCAAAAACACACTGAATAGAGAATTGTATGTATCAATGTTTAACTATTTGGCTAGCACTTGGTCAATTTATTCGACAATTAGGATCAGTACTCCAGTAACCGAGCGACCACAGCAAACTAGCTTAAGTATATATATTTTGTTTAATAACTATAATAATATGGGAGATTACAGCTCGGTTCGCGGGGTTGACTACCTGCCTATAAGCCCTAACCCAAATTCACCACAAGACAAAAAAATAGAGAAAAGAATATGTTTATAAAATAACAAGTTTAGCGCGAAAAATAATAATCGTAAGAAAATTAAGTAAAGTGAAGGTAGGTGAAAACATACCCATGCCATCTTTCTGTATCGGTATTACCGAGGGATCAATGTTGCCCTTGTAGGCGATCGGTGTTTTTAGCACAAGTCCAGGTCGATTGACTGGCTCAATTTTGCGGGTTTTACGCTGTGCACGCATCGATGAGCTGGACCCGCTGGAGCCGCTGTTGCCGGCTTTACAACTGCTGGACGCAATGCTATACGGACGCATCGCCTTTGCGTTGGCGGCGCCTGCTGCATCCTCGCCAGCAATTAGTATATTGGCGAAGCCATTGCCACTGCCAGACGCTGTCATGCCGGTTAGAGATGTGCCCACTGACGCATTGACCATTTGATGCGTGGTGCCCAGCAGCTTGTGATGCAACAGGCCATCGCCTAGTGGCACGAGCAGATCATGATTGGGCATACTGGTCATGCACGAGGAGGATGACTGTGATATGTCCTTATCCGAGGAGGTCATAAAATCGGTGCCATCATACGAATTGTTATCCTCGTTCATCATGACAAAATCATCAATGTTTATGATCTCCTGCTTGGGCTCAAGATCTGACATCCCGCCACTGGCACCTCCATCATCATAGCCATCGTCCAATTGGCCGTACACCTGCTGATCATCGTCAACTGTCGCGGCGCCGACTCCCATTAGTGCAACACCAGCATTATTGCCATCATCGCCATCCATGACTTCGGCATAATTTTGAAAGACAGCCGCCGCAGCAGATTGCTGCAGCAACTGCTGCTGCAGTCCGCCCATGTGCGCAAAGCCGTACAGATTATTTGTATTTGTGGCGATGAGCGTTGCCGGCTGTACGCCCAAAGCTGCAGCGGCTGCTGCAGCCTGTCCCGTAAAATCCCCCCCAACAATGCTCATCATTGGACTCATATCCTTTGGTGGTGTAGGTGGAGTTGGAGGTGTTGTTGTTGTTGTTATTGTTGTTGTCGTTGTTGTTTGTGTTTGAGTTTGTGTTGAGTTCAGTTCAGTTGTTTTTAATGGGCAGTTGGATACAGTTGACAGTTGAATGGATACGGATACGGATACAACGTAACCAATACATAAATCATAGAAAAGAAAGTAGAAGAAATAAGTAAACGAATTCCAATTGTTAACTAAAGCAGAAACAGATCATATATATATATATATAAAGGATGATTTATTAACCGTTATTGCCCGACTTAGCCTAGGCCTTTCATACATTTCCCTTAATTTCCACCTGTTGAGGTGGATTTATATAAATATATATTTACAATTCTTTTTCCCTGAACAATTTTTGGTATTACACGATTTTTCCTGGACCCCATTGTTGTAGTCAGTTTCCCCCCTTAAGGAGGATTTGTTAAGATTAGTGAATGTTTATTTTTTTTTTATTTTTATTTATGTGAACTACAATCTGGTTGGTCTTCGAGATGTATGTATATAAAATGTTGATGCAAAATATCAAAACTCGATGGAAAACTAAGATTCACCATGTTGAAAACCAGCTTAGTCCGTGCAAAACCCGGCAATGCAAGCTGTTTTTAAATGCAATAAGCTTAAGAGAACAAATTTTTTTAAAACTATCTTTACACATATAAGGTAGATTAGATTCCAATTCTGGCCAATTCTCAGGTATATATTAGCCTACTGAATTTGGGTTTGTTCAGCCTAGAGATTGCCAAGCATAGCGGGAAAGGGAGTTGGACTCCTTAATATTCGGGCATATAGTTAAGGGTAGGCTTACCAAAGTGGGCTGGTGGGTCATGTCCTCCATGACGGATAGACCAACAGTTGAGTGACCGAGCAGAGTTGCAGCATCCTCCAATGAAATGCGCTCAGAGTTGTATTGGCTGCTCATCCACATCATGCGCAACTCGGCAGGATTCATTGTATAAATGATTGTTGTTTTTCTTTTGTTTTTATTTTAGTATATTTGTTGATTATTGTTTACACAAATTGAAGCGTCTTTTGCTGTGGCATTTGTGAAGCGGCGACTTTGGCTGCAATGGAAATTCACACAAACACACATATAAACAGACTCCTGCACTTGCTGACCATATGGACCATCATCGGCGCCTGTTTTCTGATTCTTCTTCTGTTTCTGTTTCAGTTCCGCTTCTGTTTGTTTCCTCTTTTTACGCTTTCTACGAAATCGAAGCGCAGCTGCTGCTAAAATGCTCTTCAGATTTCCAATTGCATTAACATAGTCCAAAAATCACTTGCATACAATTGTTATAAAATTCGGTTTGCTAAAACCGAAATAGTTTTTGCAGTTTTGGTCATTTTTTACGCTTTACACTCGCTCGAAAAGTCAATGAAGCGCACCGTGCGACCAGACGACGAACGAACGAACACAAAAGAAAACTCACAAATCGTCCTCACGCATCTGAAAACTTACATTTTTAGCACAATCAATACGCAATTTTTCGTGTGAATTGTTATTCTCACGCTTGTTGCTGGTTAATTTTAACGCGATTGATAATTTTGTGGCATTTACCCAGTTTTTGGCATTCTTTTACGCGCAAATTTAATGCTAGTTTGGCGATGATTGGTGATGTGCAAACGCAATTTAGCCGATACTTAGCGATGTGCTATTGTCAATCTGTGAATCGCGTGGACCAGGCAGTGCTGTAAAGTGCTTCAGTTTAGCAACCGAACTCAGTACATCGATTTATACAAATTTGGGGAGACAATGGGTTCGCAATATTAGAGCACATTATATTACTCGAACTTCTGAAATTTAAGGTGTTTTTAATTTTTTGTTTCTAAATGTATATTTACAAAAATTGCTTAATCGATTTTATTAAATCAAAGAATAAAGGTTTTGAAATCTGTTCTAGACAGAAATGTGATTGGTCTAATAACACAGCTATCGATATACTAGTTTAAAACAATATTAGCCAACACTAGTTAAAAAGAGAATGAAAACGCAAATAAATAAATAGCCAAACAATAACAAGCGAAATATATATATATGTAAATTTATGAAAATGCCCGAAAGTGCACTGCCAGAACAAATTCGCACCACCCTAGGTGGCAGCACTTTCGGACAACGAAGAGAGGATATTTTTCGACGACTGCAGCAAAGTGCGCAACAAACAAGTGAAATTTATAGTGGAAAACGCGAACTAGCCACAGAAAAGGACGATGTTGTGCAGGAGTTATGCGAGGCATTGGAAGATACTCTTGCATATGGACTGCGACAAACGTTGAATGTTTCAATCACGGCTGCTAGCATCTTTCAAAATATGCACGAGATTGTAACAGGTGGCACTGGCGGCAGCAGCAACAACAACGAAACCACATTTTGGGATTTTTGTGAGACACAGTTGACGCCACACGAAAGACAGCGATTCGAGGAACTCAAACAAATCTGGACGAAACACGGACGCGGCCGCGCTTTCATACGCGCCACACTCAACGAGAAGCGGCTGCAGAGCCACGTTCTAACCTGGCTGAGCGACGAGGCGCAGCTCCAGCGTTTCTATACGCCTTGGTCTCTTTTGCTCAACGAGGAGGCAGCCAAGAAATTGCCCGAAATACTGGACAGCCTCAAGGATGTACTCTTTGCCCTCAGTGTTGAAAATCCTGAGCTCAATGCACCGAAACGACCTGCAGTGCCAGGAGTTGGCATTGTGAAAGAGGAGCCCATTATATACGCACCGCAACCTGTTCCAGTGGCCACGCGCAAGCCTGGACGCATGGCGACGGCTGTCAAGCGACCGATTGTGTGCGCCCCATCAACTGAGGATTTGTTGGGTGCGCTCAATCCACGCCAAATGCTGGAGGTGCAGCAGATTACCTCGAAGGATGCCATTGAGCAGGAACTGATGCCTTCAATGCCAGACATGCCCGTTTGTGCAACACCCTGTGATCCTATAGAGCCCGAACTGGAATTTCTGAAAACACCGCTACCCGATGTTTATCCAACAGACCAAGATCAAGACCACGAACAGGAACACGCTAATGATGCGCAGGAACTCTTTGAGGACCGCAGTGATACCTCCTCGCAGTGGAGCAAGTCATCGTCTTCCGCGAACGGGGGCAGCAGCCAACAGACAATGCAGCTGGCGGAGCAGGTGACCCAGCTAAACGAACGTTGCGCCCTGCTGGAAACACGCGTGGCCGAGCTGAAACTACAAAATCGTCAACTGATACGTCGTCTCACCAAGCAGTTCAACGAGACCGGGATTGATCCGACATCGTCGTTTTGTTCAAACTTTTTGATTACCATTCCACAAGTGAAACTCGTTAAGACGCCGCGTTCAGGATCGCATTACGTGTACGAGATGCACATAACCATGCGCCAGCGGCTGGAGCATTGGACGCTCTTTCGTCGCTATAGCGAATTTAACAAACTACACAAATCCTTGTTGCGCACGCATCCCAATATTATTGGCTCCATTGAATTTCCGCCCAAAAAGCATTTTGGCAACATGAATCTCGTCTTTGTCGAAGAGCGCCGACAGCAGCTGCAAATCTATATGTTAAATGTTATGGAGGCATTGCCACAAGTGGAGGCGTGTAAATCCAAAGCGGAATTGCAAAAAGTATTTCCGTTTTTTCGCGAACGATAGCATAAGCAGACGTTGAGCCAAAAAAAAAAAACGTTGGACCAAACTTAAGAAGTTGAAAGTATTCGTTCTCTAATTAAGTTATGTTTTGTTATATTTATCAAAATGTTTATTTACATGTATAAACCGGGTGTTCAGTCACTATAAGCTGCAGAACAATGATATTATATTAAATAAAAATGTAGTGTACTAATGAATACAAAATAAAGGTTCGTTATCGATCGCATTTAAATTAAGCGATAACTGACTGACATATTTTGCTTTGTCAGCAAAGTGTTTGATGAAAATCGATAGTTTTGCGATGTTTGCACTGCTGATGCATTTTACAACTTGTTGTGCAGTTAGTGTTGTTACACTTTTGCGTTCCGGCCCGTACAATTTGACCTAGTGTTTTACATGTTTACAAAGTCAGTATGGTCTCATTGACATTGGATCTGTTGCCGTTTGGCAAACATCGATACTTATTTCCGTTGCCTATCGATATCATTCAAATTGAGCGATAACTACTTGCTGTCCCTCCGATCAGCTGTATTTGTTATTATCTGCTGCCGTGAAATTGCGTGTACTTTTGCGCCCACTACTTGCTTAACTTTCGGCATAATGATTTTGTGATAACCCATCACCTTTGCGTGCATTGAGACACACACGTATACGCATTAACTCGGACTGGTAGCCGGTGCAACTAATTTGCAAGCAACTATAATCTAATTAGCGCAACTACGGCCTCCAAAATGTCCACGGCGGCAATTGCAATAAACGGTGCCATATCCGTGGGAGCATATCTGATGACGGTGCGCATGATACCCCGCCTTCGTGAGATGTTCATCAAGGCAAATTTGTGTGGCAAGGATCTTTGCAAAAAGGACAAGCCACAGGTGTAAGTGAAGTCGTATACCTATTCATATATTCACATCAAGTGCTGAGTGTTTTAATATTTGAAGGCCCGAGTCGTATGGTGTCATTATTGGCTGCGTTTTCTTGATCTCAATGTTCCTCTTTATACCCATACCATTTGCGTTCGATGAGGCTGCCGCCATGGACGCAGTTACTGGCGGGAAGCCGGTAACTTTTCCGCACAATAAGGTAATTTATGATGACTCATTAATGAGAGGCAAACTAATTATGATATTGTTATCTATTGGGACAGTTCGTGGAGCTCATTGCCGCGCTGTTATCAATATGTTGCATGATTTTTCTTGGCTTTGCCGACGATGTGCTCGATCTGCGCTGGCGGCACAAGCTCCTGCTGCCCACCATAGCGACGCTGCCTCTGCTGATGGTTTACTATGTCAACTATAATTCCACTACGGTCATGATGCCCAACTTTGCGCGCAGCCTCTTTGGCACCTCTGTCAATATTGGTACGAATGTGAATACGCCTTTATTTTCAATCTAACAACGAATTTGATTACAGGCATGCTCTACTACATTTTCATGGGCAGTCTGGCGGTTTTCTGCACCAATGCCATCAACATACTCGCTGGCATCAATGGCCTGGAGGTGGGCCAGTCCCTGATCATTGCCGCTTCAGTATTGCTGTTTAACCTCATCGAACTGAGTCTAGGTCATCAGGTGGAATCACACCAGTTCTCACTGTATTTTATGATACCATTTTTTGCTACCTCTTTGGCTCTGTGGAAATTTAATAGGTAAGTGCAGTTTCATAAACCTAAAAACCTACTTTCCTACTTCATCAAAGAACGCTTATCTAGTTAGTTACAAATTCTGATCAATTGATTAATTACAACTTGCGGCAATATCGACAAGATAAATTGTTGGTATTTTACGTCCTATCCCTTAAAATCACAGTTTCCTAGAAGAACGAGTTAGGCCTTGGATCAAATTTGTTTATTTAATAAATACTGAAATTAGCTTGCCTGGTAACATTTATCAATATATATACTTATAAAACAAACGAATCTGTTCATGTCGAGAACTCGCATACTTAATTTACGTACTTTAACTAAATTCACAACATCAAATTCCATGAAATTTGAGAATCATTTTAAATTCCTTTCTAGTTTAGTTTCTTATCACAGATGGCGGGTCTGTCGGCGCTCTCTGCCTGCTGAGATACTAAATTTTGAATTGATTTAATGAGAAATCAGAGTGTGTTATACGATTAGATTAAAGATGACGATATGTTTAGCTTAAAGTAAAAACATGTAAGTTCGTTTGATGATTGGGAAAGCAGGCACATATACATATAAATATATACGATTATAACTAGCCGAATAGGACAATAGATGTTAGTCTTAGTCTTCATCCTCCTGCACATCATCCAGCGCATTCGTATCATACAAATTGACAAGCAATTGTCCAAATTGACTGCTGTAAAGCAACGCCGCCTCCGGCGCATAATATTTCTCGCTCTGTTGCCGCAGTCGCAGCAACTGCGTGCGTCCATCCAGTAGCATGCCGGCACCCATCAGTTGCTGAATGTAGGCTGCATCAATTCGTGAACTACGCGTCTCGTTGGGCATTCGTATTGTTGGGTCGCTGTGGCTGCCAGCTGCTCGGGCTGTCAGCATGTGAACAATCTGTTCAGACGGCATGCAGAGCTCACAGCTCCAGCCGCCATAGTGATTGAGATCGCCCAGCGTGTAGCTCGCTTGATGCTCCAGTCGTTGCGGATCCATTTGGACGCTGTGCATATGCACCAGGGAGCTGATGACACCATCCAGGCGTGTACGCTGCGGATGTTGCCAATAGAACCCGTACACATTATGCTTCAGCCTGAAGCGCAACGGCAGCACATCGCTCGCAAAGTATTTGAGAAATTTCAAAGCAGCCGGCGCATAAACAGTTTCCCCATGGCCAAACAATAGCAAATCCTTGGGCTGGATTTGCACACCGCACAGCGTCCACAGCTGGTGATGAAAATAGCTGTAGGCAGTTGCGTCGCTGCAATTGCCATGGCTCTGACCCTCGCATTGATACAGCAGGTAACTGGCAATGGGCAGAGCGTCCAACTGGCGGACGAGCGTGCGCCCTGTCAGTCTGTTTTTGCTGTCTCTCACATGGTAGTAGATGAGAAAACAGTCCACAACCTTGATGAGTGTGCGCAGCTGCAGCTCCAGCAGCTCCATATTGATGTGCTCCCAGGCGCCCAGGTTTAGCATATAGTAGAGACGCTTCAATGTTGTGCTGCTCGCCTCGTGCAGCTTCAGCGGCGCCTCATTGCCGCCCCGTCTGCTGGCGCGACTGTGCGTCATCAGGGCACGCCATATAATTTCCGGTTGCCCACAGTCACGACCATGCCAGCCGCTGGCACACGGACACTGCGACTGCGACATTAAATAGTCCACGTTGTTTCGTCCTGCCTGCCTAGATTCGTTTAGTGTGCCCTCGGCATAGCACCACAGCGTTGACGCTAGCCCCAGGTCCATATATGCCGGCATGGGATAGTCTGCAGAGCGATTCAATTGATCGGTTTTCAATTGAAAGAAATCCTGCTGATACCGATTAATGTTCTCGCTCTGGGGACAATGCGGCGTCCCGTTTTGGTTCTGCGCTTTTTTTGCGATTCTTGCCTGCCGCACAAAATGCACACGGCCCTGCTCCAGTTCGAATCTGTTGTTGTTGTTGTTGCTGCTGTCTGACTGCAGCTGCAGCTGGCTATGATTAGCCTGCAGCAGCCAAATGCAACCAATGAAACACAGCTGAACCAGCACCACAGACCACAGGACGAGCTTTTTGGTACTCGCCAGACGGCCGCCGCCGGTTGCAAGTGTCTGGCTCAGACCTGTAATCTTGGCCATTGTGAGTTGTTGCGACTACACACTGTACATGGTTATTTTTTGTTCTTATTTGAGTTATGCGTTTTTCGAGTTTTCTTGCCTTTTCCAACTAACACACCCACTTTTCACATATTGCTGCCCACCCGCACAGCTGATGTTAGCGGTGTTTCTCTTTTTATGCCTGCGCTCTCAGCTGTTCAAAGTTGGGCACGAAAGAAACGGCATGAAAATAAACATATTTTCGTTATATTATTGCCTTCTCTTTATGTACATATGCCAATTTAATATTTATAACGATTATTTATTTGCTACTCCGTTGTGTATTTTCTCTTAGTCGGTTGTTCAGTGTTAAATTGTGACGTCACGTCCCTTCTCGTTATTTACACTGTCGCTGCTCAACCTCTTTTCTTTAACCATGTGCTCTGTCTGTCACGGCTGCCAACTGTTAACAAATGTACCGAAATATGTACATGTACCACTTGTACCAAGTGGTTCCATTTTTATAATAAACTTATTTATTTTTATTCGAGATTAGCCTTAAAGTTTATTAGTATTATTTTTACTATTAATGTAAATTCAATTCGACTTATGCATAATTTTATACACGGAAAACAAACAAATTAAAGCTAGTATATTTAATTTTGAATTTTCCGTTACATATTCAAAATTTCAAGTAGCGACCAATGTTACCCCACATGATAAATGTCGAATTATTATTTTATTTTTGCTTGCAGATATCCATCTCAGGTGTTTGTGGGCGATACGTATTGTTATTTTGCCGGCATGTCCTTTGCCGTTGTTGGCATCTTGGGTCATTTTAGCAAGACGCTATTGCTCTTCTTTCTGCCACAGATACTCAACTTTCTGTACTCGACACCGCAGTTGTTTCACTTTGTGCCCTGTCCGCGGCATCGACTGCCCAAATATGATGCCAAAGCGGATCTGCTGCACATCAGCACCACGGAGTTTCGCATGAAGGAACTGAACAGTCTGGGCCGTTTAATGGTCACAGTGCTGCGCGTATTGCGTCTGATTAGCTGGCAGGAGCAGGCCGACGGACGCGTCATTACCAACAATTTTACGCTCATCAATTTTGTGCTGGTCGTCTTTGGGCCGGTACACGAGCGTGTTGCCACCCAAATGCTGATGGGCTTCCAGGTGCTGTGCACACTGTTGGCTCTATTCATCCGATATCCGCTGGCCAATTTCTTTTACGCCATTGAGACATAGTAAGCGTTTGCTTTGCATGTGTTTAAATGTAGTTTATATGTGAATACAATACAGTTCCCAAAAATTTATTTCATACGAGACGCAAAGTATATAAAATAAAATTATATTATGAGCGTTTCGGAGGGGTCCGATGAATCGGAGCTTTCATTTCCGGAAGATGAGGACGAGGGACCAAATATTGGCGTAGGTGCACACTGTTTGTCCCGGTTACATACTCCATTCGCTATTTCCGCCCACAGAAATACATTGGTGGACGCAATGCAGCAGGATATCGCCATGGACGCGGCTGGGCCATTCTGCCAAATGGTGATCAGTACGATGGCAATTATCGTAAGGGCCGTCGTCATGGCATCGGGCTTTATGTATTTAAGAATGGTGCTCGATATTACGGACAATATCGCTGTGGTGTTCGCTGTGGTCGCGGCATATTCATTTATCCCGATGGCTCTGTCTACGAAGGAAACTGGCGCAAGAATCTGAAGCACGGCAAGGGCCGTTACAATTATGCCAATGGGGATACGTACTCGGGTGATTGGTACAAGGGCCTTCGTCATGGTGTTGGCATCTATAGTTTCAAAACCGACAAGGATAACTGCTGCATGACAGTGCGCCTAAAGTCCACTTGGAACACCAATGTACGCATGGGTCCCTTCGAGATGTACATTGGCAATGATGACAAATGCACCATCTTGCATGGTATTTGGGACAATCTCTTTCCGACAGGACCTGCCGTCTTTAGCTTTGACAATCGCTATATGCTGCTTGGTTACTTTTTGCCGGCCGATTATAGTTTCAAAATTGTTCGATCTTCCGGTGAGCTTGCCGAGGACGAATTCAACCAAGATGCTGAAGAAGAAGAGGCCGAAATTGAGGAGCCAATGCCCACATTGTGGTTTGCCCAGGAGATCGCTGTCTATGATTATTCAATACTGCCTCAAGAGCCGGTACCACTGCCCATTTCCGATTCGGAGCTATCTGTATGCTCGCTGACCACAGAGCCGAGCGTCCAAAGCCAAGAAAAGATCAGCTTCTATGGCGAGGGCGAGGAAGCCGAAGGCGAGGGCGAGGAGGGTGAAATGGAATGCTTCCCTTGCGAGTGCGACTATGATCTCAGTGATGTTGAATCTGAAACCGAAATATGCAAAATCGATGCCAACCCATGTGCCATTGAAGTGCTCAAACAGCCCGAGTGCCCCAATCCGTAGTGTTAAAGAGCTGTTGGCGATCTTTAATTTAATTTAATTTGTTCTGTGTAAAATGCCAGCGTCTTGAAAATATTATAAAGCTACTGAGCTACTAAATTATTATATAGATTGGCATCCAACCACAAGTATTTTTTTTTTTGACCCTAACCAGAGATGAAAGCCATGTACAACTATCTATATCGGCGCCCATATTCCAAGCGCTGCAAACAGAGTATGTATTATTTGACAATCCTTCGTTAATTCAAGTTCAACAAATATCGCCACTCCTGGCGAGCACACTTATCAGAGATTTAGATTAATAGACACAAATTTATTTGTGTGTATATATATATATATATTTTTTGCTTTATTTGCCTTTTCAGAATTTGAATAAAATTTGTTTTTATCATTTCTTTAAAATACGCCTGACTCTATGTAGATTTAATGCGCTCTCTATAAATAAATCGCTTCATATGTTATTGATGAAATCACAAATGGGGGCTTTTCAAGTATTATTGACATTATTGATGATACCTTCTCCACACGAGCACATTCTAAGTTTTAAATTTTACTATTATTTAAATCGTATGACTTGTTTTTTTCATTTATGTTTAATCCATCCAATGTTTAGTTTTTGAATTCATTAAGTTTCACTAATTAACTCTATACGTAATTATTGTTTGATGCATTTTCATTTTACACATTTTAAACATTAACATTTGTTTAATGTGTTTTTAGCGTCAATTTTTGTTGGGTTTTTGTATTTGTGTGCTTTTTTACTTTAATAACATATTTAAAAATTAATAAAATCTCTACGTGTTGCAAGCAGGCTGCGCACTGGCCGGCTGATAGGATTGACTGCAGTTGTCAGGGAAGCTGTTGGAGTTGCATGCGGCTAACGCGGGCGCCGGCGGCGTATTGGAATCTTCTAGTTCTGTATTGATCTGATCTTGAGATAACCGGTCTTCGTCTTCGTCACTGTCGTCCACAACGATGTTTAGCTTCTCCTTGGGCATCTGCAACGTCGTCAATGTCGACTCGTCGACTGGATTGAGATGCACCATCTGATGTGGTGATCCGTCTTCGGTGAGCAGCTCGTGCAGCGTGCTACCATCTTGCTGTTTGGATACCTTATAAATAGCAGGACACGATTTGGAATTTTTAACATCACTTGCATCCTTCAGTTTAGTCATCTCCACATGACTAACATGCTCCTCCAAAAGCTGCGCATTCTGGTTGTTATCCTCGATGCTGCAGCCAAGTAAAGCTGCCATGGCAGCTGCCTGACTGCTGCTTGCGCCTTCTGGATTAACATACAGTTCTGATTTGCTAAAGAGCAACATTTGCGGATCTATTTTAAAGTCGTACAACTCCAACTTCTGATGATCCAGATTCTCGTCAATATAGTTTATATGTATTGGCGTAGTCTGCAGGTTCAGCTGAGAGCGATGAAATAGATCGTCCTCTGGCGGCGTATAATAAAGAGATGCCTTGCTAGCCGAATTGTCAGCGACCATCAGACGTGATTTAATTTTCTGTATGTGCAGCTCCTTCTCCATTTGGCTCTTTAAGTAACAGTCTATGTCTGTAAAGGAAACGCAGCGAAATATTTATTTCATTTTATTATACAAAATTGATACCGATACTTACCCTCAACAATATCCTCCTCGCAGCGACTGCGACAGTTCTCGAAATAGAAGCTTGGCAGATTTTCCAGCACTTTGTTCAATGACTGCTGCTGATACTTGTAGCCTTCGCGTAGTCGCAACACCTGGTGGGCACTGAATTTGCGGATTTTATTGCGCTGGAAGACATAGTTCTCGCGCACCCAGCTCAATTGGCCGGTGGAATAGTCGCGCACCTTCTTCACCTGATCGCAGTATTGATCTTTTAGTGCGGTTAGATGATTGGAGCCCATGTCGCGGAACTCCTTAATGTGCTTGGCCTGCGTAGTGTAGCTGCTCTGTATCCACTCGACTTGCTGTGCGCAATTCTCCCGGATACGATGCACCTGCTGTGCATAATTCTCACGCAAACGCTCCAGCTGCTGGCTCTTGTAGCTCTCAATGCTGTCCAGCATTGCGTAAATTTGCCGCGATCTCGGTGACTTCTTATTGCGATTCGCACAACAGGACAAACGATCGCAGACACCGAATCTAGCCAGGCAGCTGCGCAATCCTTGCACCAGGAGTGTGAGCAACAAAAATGCCGTTGCAAGCAGTGTGCCAGCCAGAAGGCTCTCGATTTTGACACGATAAAATACAATGGGATCAATGTAGAGTCTGTGAAGAGATATGGGAATAATTTAGTTATTTTAAATATGGCGCGATTAAAAAAAAACTATGGGACACGTTCACTAAGATTAAAATTCAAAACAAATATTGTTTCAGATTAAAATAAATACACAAATCTGCCGTCTGCGGTTGATGACCCAGTCTGTCAGGCAACTGCAGAACGAGAATTCGGATTCGAATCCCAGTTTTGGTTAAGGATGTAGTGTTTTCCAAGACGATGCTATTGGAAAAGATAGGTAAATAGTTTATAACTATATCCCAAACTCGTTTAAAACAATATTAATATTATGTACAATTAATTATATTCATCGCTGTGGCTGCATCTAAGTGACCCAGCCCTGAACATCGCAGATCCGGGGTTTTTGTATTGGTCGTACTCATTGCAAGTGTTATTTAAAAGTTTGATTCATAGTTAAAAACTATAACCTTAGAAAAAATATTTATTTATTAACGTGTTGGCCATAAATACTAAAATGTCAATAGGCACTTTTGTTTATGTATCGCATTGCTTTACTTCTGGTGAGTTTTCCTTTTAAATGTAATGTTAACGTAATTGATAAACAAAATTCAAAGTGTGCAAACGGTCATCTTCGGCTTATTAAATAAAATACATGGAATGCTATACCAGATAAATAGCATAATTTGCATCTCCTAAGTACTTAAGTTTATTTAACAAACAGTAATGTCAACATATATGATAACGGGTCGGAATACGTCTTGAGATTCCCCATTCAGTAGGCAGTAAGGCCTCTGCTGGTTTATATACACATCACACGGTAGATACGCAACTCTATGGTAAACATGGCTCTATCACAGTTGCCACAATACTCCCACAAACGGGGCAAACTCAAAAAGGGGCTAGCCCCGGCCCTAGTCCATCTGGTCGTACCAGAAATGTCTATTTACCAGTATTGTTCAGCGTTAAGCAAGGAATAAGGCACTTCTTGGAGAGCTTCTTACCAGATGAGGGTTCTGTTGCTAAGCCTAATGGCTTAGTACAAGTACCTTAAGGTTTGGTTAGACCTCTGTTTTGTCACTGTCAATAGATCCCAGTATAGCTGGGCCTACAAATGGTGCTATTAAAATATGCTTTAAAAAATCAAACTAAGGAACTGCAAATTAAATTTGAAGAAGCTTGACTGTTGGGTGCGCAGGCCCAATATGAATATGGTTGTTATGATCTTACCTTATGCCAGCCGATGCATTGCCCATCACATTGAAGGCATAGCAGGTGTAGAGGCCGCTGTCCCCGCGAGATATATTATGCACCAGCAGCGAGCCGTTCTCGATGAGCACCACACGCTGACCCACAATGCTCTTCTGCCTGCTGATGTTTATGTGCAACGTCTGGGCGTTGCTGTCGTCCGTCAGGGCGAAAAGTTCAAATTTACTGGGCTGATGTTCTTTATCGCTGTTGATGATGATGGGTCGCTTGTCAGGATCGGCGTGATGACGCAAAATCTTGTGACGTGGCGTCACCTGCAAACAGTAGACCCATTGTTGAACCAGGTTGAAATAGGAATCCAGTGACTTACCCAAATAATATCCGGTGTTGGGCTACCGAAGACCATGCACTCAAGCTTGGCGGTGGCGTGTAGTCTGTACATCTTGGGCTCTGAGGATTGCACCACAACGGGCACGCTACAGTTGAGATTGCTAAGCACGCGCAACATGTCCCCGGGATAGCCATATTGACAGCTGAGTGCATCAATCTGGTTGTCAATATGCTCATACGAATCAAGTGTACGATTGGCAGCTATGGCTGCCCGTCGCAACGAGGTCGTCGCATTTGTTAGCCAACCGGTGAGCCAGTACATGCTGCAATCACAAATATACTCATTGCCCAAGATGTTTAAATATTGCAGCTTGTTCAGCTCTTTGAGGCTCTCCGGCAGCGAGCCCAGGCGATTGCCGCGCACACTAAGACGCTGCAAACGCGTCAGGCTGCCGATCTGTGAGGGCAGCTTGGACAGACTGTTGTCGGCCAGCAGCAGCTCACGCAGATTTCGCACATTGGCAAACAACGTAGCGGGCAGCTGGGTGAGCTGCGTATTCTGCTGCATGGACAGATAGCGCAGACGTTGAAGTATTTGCCCGTCCACGTAGTCCTCGTTGCGGGATATCCAATTGGGCAGCTGCTGCAGAGGGGTTTTATCGATTCGCAGCAACACCAATTTACGTTGCGTCTGAAAGAGTCCATCGGGCAACTGCTTGAACTGATTCCGACTAAGATCTAATTGCTGCAGTTCTCCAAGTGGCTGGAATATTATGGAGGACAGCAGCTTTAGTTTGTTGCCAGATATATTGAGTGTTACGAGATGTTCCAGCGACTCGAAGGCCTTGCGATCAATGCTGCCCAGCTCATTCTGTGATAGATCCAGATGCCGCAGCTCGCGAAGATTATACAGGCTATGCTTGCCTATGGACTGCAGTTGGTTGCTTTGCAGCTGCAGCTGACGCAGCTGATTATTGAGTGCAAAGAAGTTGTCAGGAAACGAGAGCAGGCGATTATTGCTGAGATCCAACAGGCGCAGTTCACGCGCCGTCTGGAAAAGCTGGAAGGGCAAAACGGTCAACCGATTGCCGGCCAGATGCAGCAACTCCAGCTGCAGTGCACCCTCAAATATGTTGCGGGGCAGCTCGGCCAGCTCATTATCGGTAAGATTCAGCAGTCGGAGCTCGCTTAGCTGATGCACAAAGTGTACGGGCAGTGCCCGCAGCTCGTTGCGATCCAAGTGCAGCTCCAACAGATGATTCATATGCTGTAGCTCGGCCAGGCTGCAGTTGGCTAAGCGATTGCCACTCAGCTTAAGTACTTTAAGGCGGCGCATGGCCTGTGGCTGCGCCCAGTGGATGCAGCTCAGCCGATTCTCGCTCAAGTCCAAAGTTTCAACAGTATCAAAACGTTGCCCATATTGCTCAAAGAGTCGCTGTAATGTGTCGTCCTGCAGTGAACTAAGCATCCATTTAAATTGCCGTATGCTCTCGTACGGTTGCAGTTGCAGTGATTCGTCAGGATTGCCTGGCACATGCATCAGTGTCACCTGCTCATAGTTTATATGGCGATTAAACAGCAGCTGGGCATTGATCTCTGTTACGCTTGTATTCTGACAGCGTAGCTTTACAATGCTGTTGGCAGGATCACCCTGCTCGGAGCTTTCCTGTTCTAGTTGTTCCTCCTGTCTGGTGTACATTGGCTGCGCGCTGTTATCTAGCAGCCAGGCATCATCGAGACTATCACCATCGTCTACATCTGAGTCGACAGCATGACCCACAAAGGGCAAATGGAACTTGTAACCCAGCAGGGAGAATTCGTGCTCTTGCCACGTTCGAGTCGTTACTGCTCCCGTTCCCTTGACTCCTATGGCTCTACCCTGCGTCTGCAACGTGACGTTCCTTGGGCTGTACGCGGTGACACAGCCGAGTTGATTTTCCGCATTGGCGGCGACCGCAATGTTAACAAACAATGCAGCCAATATCAGGGAGATCTTGGATATTGTTTCCATTTTTCCGTGTGTAATCTCAAAAACTTATATGGCATTATATGTGTCTCATTGTGCGATTGCATATTACACCTGTGGACGAAAATATACAGTTTTTCATTAATAAATGGCTTTTGTTAACTGTTGATTTCTATTCAGAGAGTGTGTATAAAATCACAAGTACCTTTAACAGTCCATAGTGTTAAAAACTCTTCGGATGGTTCAAATATATCATCAATAACATTCTTGGCTTTGAGCCTTAATCTTATAGATATACCGGAAACCAGGTAAGAATGGTTATCTTTGAAGTGAGGAAGATTAAATACCCTTGCAGACGAGCAACAATGCACTACGTGTTATCTTAGCCAGACAACGTTATTGTTTACACAAAAATTATAAATTCAACATATTAGACCCGGTATATTCAAAATTCTTATCTTTAAGAACAACACTTAAAATATAAGAATTACGAAACCCCCTGTAAAATTTGGTACATTTCAAATATTTTATTAATTATAATAATTAAATTACGATTTTCTGGTCACCAAAAATACTCGCTGTTGCTTGTACTCCATTCTAGTTAATGTGTTATACAACACAAACTATAATAAATAAAATAGTAAACAATCTTCGCGACATCCTAATATCGTAATTGATATATCGTAAGAAACAATATTTTTCCCGTTTCGCTTTCTCAATAAGGCAGGTTTCAAACTCTGCGACAAGTAGGCAAAAATGCTTAGTTATGGCCGTTGTTATACACTTTTTACTCATTTTTAATGGCTACAGGGTATTAAAAGAAAAAGTAGCTAAAGTGACAAAAATAAAAATAAAATGCGCAAGGTACACGAAAAGACACAAATGAAAGATAATAATTAAATTAGCACAAACAAAACATGAACATACAATATAAATTCATATGCACGTACCTATGTACATTTTTGTATGCACATTAAAATAATAAACTGTTCTTTTCTTTTATTAAGTTGAAGTTTAAGGCCATCGAAATCGTTTATAGCAAATGGGTATAAATCTCTGAAAAGATGGCTTATCAGCTTGCAGAAATACGGTACGTATAAAACGAAGAGCGTCGGCGACTTACACATTCATTTGTACATACATTTAAAGAGGCATTCATCAAAACATGTGTACACATACACACGTACTTATTAAATCGTTATATTAATTTTTAAGCTACTTGACTTGCGTACATTGAGAAAGTTACATAATCAAGAATCGAGAATATACATACTTGCACACGCATATGTGCATTTGTAAGTGTAACTGTATGTAAAATGGTCTCAAATCGAAAAACAACCGTTTTATAAATATTTCATACACATACATTTTAACTGGTATATACGAACACAAACAAATACACATTACATACTTATAAACAGATGTCTCTTTCTGTCTGCTTGTGTATATATATACATACATATGTATGTAAATGACGTCCGAAAAGCCGCTAATGAGCGGAGAGTACAAATAAGAAATGTGTGTTTGTGTTGACACGCACACCAAGGTGAAACGAGACACGTTAGCGACGCCAAACGAAATAGAAAAACCATTCACAAAATTAAGCTAGACTCTTAATTTGTAACTGAATGCGTCTTACATTTCTGTCAAGTGTTAAGGGTCAGTTGTATATGTAATGATGTGAATTCGTGAGTTTCTTATATGTTCTAGTATTATATCGACCCAGCAGCATTTTCATAACAGCCCGAAACTAAGCAGCTGGAGTTTAAGATGGGGCCTTAGTATATACATACATACATATACACACATATATATGTACTTCGTTTTGTTTTTCACCCTTTGTGGCAAAATCAACCGTTTTTGCAGTAACTCAAACGTAATAAATATTAATGTGCACATAGAATACATTTACAATTTGCACAGACGCGGCACTGTTCTTACAAAAGCCGAGAATATAAAATTTATTACACAAACTCACCGCTGCTTATAGCATTTTAAAAAAAAGTTAAATCTCCAATATTTCCGACGCAGCAATTGGTACTTGTGCAAAGAGGATTTAACTATGCAATGCTAATGTTAACTTAACAGATTAATGTTAACAGTTTACTCAAAATCGCTTTATACTGATTCTCATCCCTATCGATCCATCGATAACATTTTTTGTACGTATTGCATTGAATCACTAACCATTCAGCATATGTTGAACGTGAGTACTATCAAACGGTGTTTTACTTATTGTTTTTTCGCTTAAATTTTATACCTGTTTTTTATCAGCTTTTTTACAAAAGTTATTATTACAAGTTGTGTACAATTATCGATATCGATAAGTGTATTAGTATCAGCGCAGTGTATTTAAAATTACTTACAGTTACATTTGCTGCCAACCAACAGCTGATTATTGCAGCGATTGCAACTAATTTCAAATTCATTACAATTAATATACATGTGTGTGCGTACTGAAGTTTTGTACGATCAAGAGAAATATTTAACTTATGTCTTATTAATACTAATACGTGAAAAAATAATATGTGTAACAATATCCTCATAATCAACACAACTGAAACATGAGTAAGCCAGATGGGCTTAATAGAACAACTCTCCAGTGGCCGCAACGACTCTTGGACAATGTTGTGCCGCCCAGTGCATATAGGCGGATTTTGAATCAATCTTAAGTGGCCATTTTCTGACTATGTGATTCCATATGTGCACCATTCGCGAATTCTTAGTCCGGGCTAGCGTTTCAGTCGAGTTCTCCGGATTGAAAAACATTATGCATTCATCAAATTTCACCTCGTAAAATGCGTTAATATCGAACACTCTAAAGCCATGACAGCGTTTCCGATTATTCACCATGAGAGTAACATTTTTCGTACCACAAATCTCTGACAAAACGCGCACTAAGCCCATGGGTCCATTATGGGCCCACGCATCGCTATCATAATTCTTCTGAAAGTCCTGCAGAAATAATTCGCCAAGCTGATGGCCAAATCCGTTGGGCTCCAAACTTATAACACTGTTGCCAATGCTATCTGCTCTCTCAGCTCCTGCAAAGTTCAGTGGCTCATCCTCCAAGCTGCGTAACTGCAAGACGTCCATGTCCAGGTAAACACCGCCATAGCGATATAGTGTAATTAATCGGAGTAGGTCGGAAAGGTGAAATATCAGATATCTAAGTAGATAGATAACAAATTAGAAGCTAAATTATATTGACAAATAATTTTAAACCTTGATGTATATAGATCGCCTTTCTTGACCCAATCCGCGATGGGTGTATCCTGTGCATAGAGATCCAGATTTAGCGACCGAAAGTGCACATTTTTGTAGCTTAGAAGGGCATCAATGATGGGCATCGATTTGTTACGGTGGGTGGGGCAGGCAAACAGAACAAATACTTGGAAATTTGGATTATGCAAAGCGGCAGATTCAATGGGACAGGCCTGATGCGCCTTAATTCTACTCATTTTGTAATGGGTATATGAACGATGGCAGCTATTCTCAATAAAAAATATGGTTCGTCCTGGCGGAGGTTTTGAACTGGACAAAAGAATATCCTCTATAATTATAGGCACCGGTTCCTCTGGAAGATCCAACAGCTCCGCATGCTCTGGTTCTGAGTCGAATTGTTCCCGTTCTGTTTTCTCTGTAGGCTTTTCATAATTGTGTTTCGTAGACGCATGTGTATCCCTAATTTCTGTAAGAACTTTTCTCCAACTTGAGGTCGACGATAATATACTGAAAATAAAGGCAACCGCAACGAGAACCGCTAAAAACAGACGCCGTTTATACCCCAGATAAGGCAACAGTCCACTTTTTAGTCGTACGAACATGACGAGGCTGGCCGAAAGTACAAATGAGACTGACTAGCTATTTAATAGGCAAAGCATATTACCATTCGATGTAACAACCAGGAGAGTGTATTCAGCTGGGTCAATTTAAACAAATAGACTTGCCAATTTTCTATTTGTCGACGTTACAAGTAACAAATAATCTATAAATTCATATCTCTTTATAAGTATAAAACTGTTTGTCCTGACTACTACATACTACAACTGCATACTAATGTATATCAATCCAAAGCGCAAGAAAAGTATCTAAAAGATACGTAAAAATTAAAATATTTTATATCTGTGTTAACAGACTAACTAGATAGTTTCACAAGAGAAGCCTAATTACCAAAAATTGTGTAACGATTAATAAATAATCTGACCCAATTTTATTATCGGTGCTGCCATCTTCGCGAATAAAGCGTGGCAATCGGATTGCTCAGCTGTATCAATAAGCAATTCCTCGTCTACTTACACTTTACCAACTGAGCCGGCTTAAACAATCGAGAATAGCAATATTGACAGTGGAGTACGCTCGTGTGGACAAGTGTACCCACATATACATATTTGAATATTTCCTATGACCGCAAATGGCAATATAAATATTTTTTCTGTTTATTGATGAATAGCACGTGTATAAGTGTTTTAATGTTTAACAAAGATAAATTTAAAAAAAAACGAACTCGCAACTAACCACACTACTTGCCGCCGTTTCCACTCAACAGCCACACCAGCCACAAAAAAATAATGTTTCCCGGAAAGTCTCGAACTCGCGACAGACAACACCACTTGCCACCGCCTTTACTCAACAGCCACAGCAATAATTAAGTCTTAGTGAGAAAAAAAAACCAATTAAAATAGTAGCACAGAAAACAATACAATCCTAATTATAATGCTTCAAATTTGCGCTGGTGCCGCAAACACGTGTTTCTTAACCGATCAGCATGAAATTTTCTACAGAATATTTGATTGTACCATAAAATATTTGTGTATTCTCAAAAAGTAAATTGTATTAAAGTTGTAGCTTAAATTGGTGGAAAATAGAAGTTGGGTTATCAATTTGATTTATAGCTATGAGGTAGTGAGGAGGTAGCGACAGGTATAAAATGAGAGAGTAAACGTGTCACTTTTCGTGGATCTAGCTCGTATTATTTATCGGAAACAAACTCGATCTGTGTATGGACTAGGAGGCTAAAGATTCAAGACTCTAGCTCATATTATTTTTAAGATACTTGCGTTCATACATACGTACGAACGACCAGACGGACATGGCTAGATCGAATCGGCTATTGATGCTGATCAAGAATATACATATTTTATGGAGTCGGAGATGCTTCCTTCTGCCTGTTATTACCGCTACATTTTGCACAAATACTTTTACCTTGCTACCCCTTTTTTAATGTGTTCAGGGTATAAGAACCCCAATGTAGATTCATATGCATTCACGGAATACTCGTTTCCTTATGCAGCAAAACAATATTTCAAAGCCACCTAAAGCATAAGTCTCACGAATCTTTTCAATTATAAAAATATTCTATATGAATTAATAGAACAGCCTTCCAGTGGCCGCAACGACCCTTGGACAATGTTGTCCCGCCCAATGCATATAGGGGGATTTTGAATCAGTCTTAAGAGGCCATTTCGTGACTATGTGATTCCATATATGCACCATTCGCGAGTTCTTGGTGCGGGCCAGCGTTTCATTCGAGCTCTCTGCATTGAAAAACAGTGGCCACTGCGGCCATGGCACCTCGTAAAATGCGTTAACATCGAACACCTTAAAGCCCTGACAGCGTTGCCGATTATTCACCATGAGGGTTACATTATTCGTACCACAAATCTCTGACATTACGCGCACTAAACCCATGGGCCCATTGTGGGCCCACGCATCACCATTATAATTAACATGAAAGTCCTGCAGAAATAATTCGCCAAGCTGATGGCCAAATCCGTTGGGCTCCAAACTTATAACACTGTTGCCAATGCTATCTGCTCTCTCGGCGCCTGCATAGTTAAGTGGCTCATCCTCCAAGCTCTGAAGCTGCAGGACGTCCATGTCCAGGTAGACGCCGCCAAAGCGATATAACGTTAATAATCGGAGTAGGTCGGAAAGGTGAAACATCAGATATCTAAGTGGATAACACGTAAGTCTGAGTAGAAGCTAAATTGTGAAAATAATTTCAAACCTTGACTTAAATAGATCGCCTTTCTTAAGCCAATCCGCGATGGGCGTACCCTGGGCATAGCGATCCAGATTTAGCGACCGAAAGTGCACATTTTTGTAGCTTAGAAGGGCATCAATGATGGGCATCGATTTGTTACGGTGGGTGGGGCAGGCAAACAGAAGAAATACTTGGAAATTTGGATTATGTAAAGCGGCAGATTCGATGGGACAAGCCTGATGCGCTTTAATGCTACTCATATTGTACTCGGATCCTGAACGGTAGCAACTGCTCTCAATAAAGAAAATTGTTTGTCCTGGCGGAGGCTTTGGGCTGGACAATAGAATATCCTCTATAATTATAGGCACCGGTTCCTCTGGAAGATTTATTTTCAACAGCTCCGCATGCTCTGGTTCTGAGTCGAATTGTTCCCGTTCTGTTTTCTCTGTAGGCTTTTCATAATTGTCCCTAATTTCTGTAAGAACTTTTCTCCAACTTGAGGTCGACGATAATATACTGAAAATAAAGGCAACCGCAACGAGAACCGCTAAAAACAGACGCCGTTTATACCCCAGATAAGGCAACAGTCCACTTTTTAGTCGTACGAACATGACGAGGCTGGCCGAAGGTACAAATGAGACTGACTAGCTATTTAATAGGCAAAGCATATTACCATTCGATGTAACAACCAGGAGAGTGTATTCAGCTGGGTCAATTTAAACAAATAGACTTTCCAGTTTTCTATTTGTCAACGTTACAAGCTTAAATGCTGTAACAAATAATCTATAAATTCATATCTCCATATAAGTATAAAACTGTTTGTCCTGACTGAGTGACTGACTGATTGGTGATCAACGCATACTATTACATACTTCAACTGCATACTAATGTCATCAATCCAAAGCGCAAGAAAAGTATCTAAAAGATACGTAAAAATTAAAATATTTTATATCTGTGTTAACAGACTAACTTAATATTTTCACAAGAGAAGCATAATTACCAAAAATTGTGTAGATTGACTTGATTCTATTATCGATCGAATAAGCAATTCCTCATCTACTTACACTTTACCAACTAAACCAAGAATAGCAATATTGACATAGCAATATTGAATATTTCCCATGTCCGCAAATGGCAATACAAATTCTGCCTATTGATGAATAGTACGTGTATATATGTTTTGAAGTTTTCAACAAAACCCAATGTACATTCAGATGTATTCACAAAATATTAGTTTCCTTTTACAGCAAAACAATATTTCAAAACCACACCAAACATAAGCCTTATAATTCATTTCAATAATGTGGAAAACCATGTACACGAACCGCACCTAAATTAATAAGCTGTACTGACAAAAATTTGGTTTGCCCTGCATCCTTCTTAGAATCTTATGGGGAAGCCAGATATGATAAATAAGACTCTTCCCGTCTCTTATGCGATGATGCTCATAGTCTTTGCGTATACCCATTCAAAACGTTGTGGCATTAGCAAATGTATATTTTGAGGCTGTCGAAGATAAATAACACACGTTATTTTCTTTGAAATCAGGTATACGACATCATAAAAAAGATCCCTCTATATTAAAAAGTGGGCTAAGTATAAAATGGAATTATACGCTGTTATATGCCGTTTACACGCTGTGCAACGCTCTTTTATTTACGTTTTTTCGCTTTCTTTATAAGACGATTAACTGACAGCAAATTTTACAATAATTTAAGTTGTTATAGAAAGATAATAAACTTTAAGCTACCTACAGTTGCAGCTGCATTCTAGATTAAAATATTTATGAACAAGAGTGAATTTTTTCCTATGACTTATCCGCCTAATAGAATAATTCGCCCGTGGCCGCAACGACCCTTGGACAATGTTGTGCCGCCCAATGCATATAGGGGGATTTTGAATCAGTCTTAAGAGGCCATTTCGTGACTATGTGATTCCATATATGCACCATTCGCGAGTTCTTGGTGCGGGCCAGCGTTTCATTCGAGCTCTCTGCATTGAAAAACAGTGGCCACTGCGGCCATGGCACCTCGTAAAATGCGTTAACATCGAACACCTTAAAGCCCTGACAGCGTTGCCGATTATTCACCATGAGGGTTACATTATTCGTACCACAAATCTCTGACATTACGCGCACCAAACCCATGGGTCCATTGTGGGCCCACGCATCACCATTATAATTAACATGAAAGTCCTGCAGAAATAATTCGCCAAGCTGATGGCCAAATCCGTTGGGCTCCAAACTTATAACACTGTTGCCAATGCTATCTGCTCTCTCGGCGCCTGCATAGTTAAGTGGCTCATCCTCCAAGCTCTGAAGCTGCAGGACGTCCATGTCCAGGTAGACGCCGCCAAAGCGATATAACGTTAATAATCGGAGTAGGTCGGAAAGGTGAAACATCAGATATCTAAGTGGATAACACGTAAGTCTGAGTAGAAGCTAAATTGTGAAAATAATTTCAAACCTTGACTTAAATAGATCGCCTTTCTTAAGCCAATCCGCGATGGGCGTACCCTGGGCATAGCGATCCAGATTTAGCGACCGAAAGTGCACATTTTTGTAGCTTAGAAGGGCATCAATGATGGGCATCGATTTGTTACGGTGGGTGGGGCAGGCAAACAGAAGAAATACTTGGAAATTTGGATTATGTAAAGCGGCAGATTCGATGGGACAAGCCTGATGCGCTTTAATGCTACTCATATTGTACTCGGATTCTGAACGGTAGCAACTACTCTCAATAAAAAAAATTGTTTTTCCTGGCGGAGGCTTTGAGCTGGACAATAGAATATCCTCTATAATTGTAGTCGCCGGTTCCTCCGCATGCTGAGGTCCTGACACAAATGTTTCTCGTTTATTTTCCTCTGACGTATCCGTAATGTTTTTAATAAATTTTCTCTCATTCAAGATCAAGATAATGAAACTGTAACCTAACACAACAGCAACCACGATCACTAATACCAGATGTCGTTTATTGATTAGATAGGGCGACAGCCTACTTTTTAGACGCAAGAACATCATGATGCTGAACGAAGGTAAAGACAAGACTAAATTACTGCTGCATCGGTATGAACAATTAAGGTCCATGTGACGATCGAAGTAGCTTTTTCAGCTGGGTCAATTTAAACATTTTTGGGTCTGCTGTTTTTTTTTGTTTTTGTATTATTTGTAGAAGCTAGCTAAGTATATCAAATGAAAGAAGAAAAAAAGATATCTCACGCCCACACACATATAATTGTAAATATTATTTGTATATATATACAAGCACATGCATACCATGTTCTGTGTATCTAGCTGCTATATTTTGAAACTGGCATATGTATATTTACAGATATTTTGAGACTGGAAGGAGATAAACTGAAACTTTGTATGGTATACGAGTGTATGTATTTCTGAAAGTTACCTCGAGTCCACAATCTAGGTGACCTTACATACATTCGAACATTCTTCTCCGGGATTTACTATTTACTCAGCTTTTTTTTCAGCTACGTAAGTTCTAAAAGGCTGTTAAATTAAAACCAGGGCAGAATCCCGACTTTTATCGTACCAGTTCGCAGTTTTAACCAAATTCGTCACAAAATTATTCAGAACTAATTTGGTTTAATAACTCTTGCAATATTTCCATCATATTGAATTATATTGTTTAAGCTTTCCTTCAATTTTTGAACAAACCAAAAGTTGAATTATGAGTTGAATGGAACACTAGGTTCACGAACCGTTCCAGCTGTAATTTTGTTTGATGTACAGCCGTCTTAGAATCTTCTAAATAACAAATAAGTTCCAAATATAGTGGAAATCAAGATTGACTACAATGTGTGTAGAATATACGAAACTAATTGGGTTAAGCTAAGAGTGGATGTGTTGAAAAGAGCCATGATGCTCGCAAACTCAACGCGTATATCTGATTACACGGGTTTTCGGGCTGTCGAAGATAAGACAAAATTGAGGACAAATAAAAATTATCTGCTTTCAAATCAGGTTATACGATGCCACTCGGATGAGTGCAAAGCAATTAGAATTTGTTTACTCTGCTCTACACGATACATAGATTTCGTATGTCTTTCAAATGTTCAAATAATAGACAATTTCTGTGCAATTGTTGTTACCAAAAGTGCTTCAATCCGGCTGCAATCATTCCTGAAAGAATATAGCCAAGGCATCAGTTGAAAACGAAATGTGAGCAATTTCACCTGGCCTAATAAAATAGTTCCCCCGCGGCCGCAAAGACCCTGGGACAATGTTGCGCCGCCCACATCATATAGGCCGTGATTGAATTAGTTTGAAGGGGCCATTCCGTGACTACGTGATTCCATATATGCACCATAATCGAGTTCTCAGTGCGGGCACGCACGAAAAGCGCAGTCTCTGGCTGGAAAAATAATCTCCATTCCTGCCAGGGAACCTCGTAAAATGCGTTAACATCGAACACTTTAAATCCCTGACAGCGTTGCCGATTATTGACCATGAGGGTAACATTATTCGTACCACAAATCTCTGACAAAACGCGCACCAAGCCCATGGGTCCATTATGGGCCCACGTCTCGCCCCTATAATTAACCTGGAAGTCCTGCAGAAATAATTCGCAAAGCTGATGGCCAAACCCATTGGGTTCCAATCCTATAACACCGTTGCCGATGCTATCTGCTCTCTCGGCACCTGCAAAGTTTAGTGGCTCTTCCTCCAAGCTGCGTAACACTAAAACATCCATGTCCATATAGACGCCGCCGAAACGATAAAGTGTTATTAAACGGAGTAGGTCGGATAGGTGAAACATCAGATAACTAAGTGGTATATAAATCAAAGCAGTAGCTAAATTATGATGGAAAATAATTTTAAACCTTGACTTAAATAGATCGCCTTTCTTGAGCCAATCCGCGATAGGCGTATCTTCTGCATAGCGATCCAGATTTATCGACCGAAATTGCACATTCTTGTAGCTTAGAAGGGCATCAATGATGGGCACTGATTCGTTACGGATGGAGCAGGCAAACAGAACAAATACTTGGAATTTTGGATTATGCAAAGCGGCAGATTCAATGGCACAGGCCTGATGCGCTTTAATGCTACTCATATTGTACTGGGATTCTGAACGGTAGCAGCTGCTCTCTATAAAAAATATCGTTCGTCCTGGCGGAGGTTTTGAGCTGAACAGTAAAATATCCTCAACAGCTGCAAGCTTTCCATTTGAAGTCAAGGATTTTATGCTGAACACGAGCACAACAGCTACGAGGACCGCCAGTATCAGACGTCGTCTACAAATCAGGTAAGTCGACAGCTTACTTTTGTGGATTAGGAACATGACGCTGCTGAATAAAATAACGACACAACTAACAAATATATTTTGAATATAAATGTAATGATCATGACAGCTTATTCAGCTCGGGAAATTTAAACATAAGCAAACCGCACATTTTTATAGGTCTCAATTGCATCGATGAGGAGTTTGTCCTCCGGACAGAGGACTATATGTAGGACAGGAAAATAATACAAACACTTGGAAATTTGGATTATTCAAAACGGCGGATTCGACGGCACAGGCTTGTCTTGCCGTCAGATTCATTAGCGAATAGAATAGCGAAACCGGATGATAACATGTGGTCTCGTAGAAGAATATAGTGATATAAAAGTTAGAATAGGTCCTCTATTATGGATATTAGAAGAAGCATCATCACACTTACGGCCAGGATGGTTGATACCAGACGACGTCTTTGGATTAGAAACTCCATCAGCAGTTTGCTTTGAGTTAACAACATGAATATTAGGCTTATCTATGCCTATGCGAATTGCTTAATAAATATTCATTTTGTTCGGGTTATTTCTATAAATATTGCGATCATCCCGATCACGTTTACTCAGCTGTTTAAAGACTGTCGCGTCTTTTACTGTAAAGAATCTTTTGTTTTATATGTGTCCTCATAGTAAAACGCTTATCAAGCTGCAAAACTACGGGCTTGGTTGGAACCATCTTAGCATATGTTTACCTCTGACTTAATGAGGTTTATCTAAGAGATAACTACATAATCAAATCTATAATCGGAATCTTTAAGAGATGTAGAGCATTGCTAGGTGCACACAAAATTGAAATTGTTAATTTAACTCTCTTAGATAAAAAGTTGACCCAGTTATTTTTAATTTATATAATTTTTGATTAACTATTTACATTTTAAGAGCACAATTTTCAATATTCATTGAGTATAATTATCTTAAAGTACTGCAGATTTAGAAATAATCACCAGCTGCCGCATAGACCCTTGGACAGTGCCTTTTCGCATATATCCCAAGTGCCGTGTTAGAGCCGACTCTGATCAAGCCTCTATAGGAAGCCTTGTTCCATAAATGTATTAAATAAGAATCTTTGGTAATTGTCATTGTTTCCTTCAGGTATTTCGGCTCAGTAAAATGCATCCACTGGGGCCAGCCGAATGGATAGAAAGCGGTAGAGTTGAATACTTTTAACCCCTGGCAACTTGTCCGACCTTCTTCAATTAGTTTAACGATGTTGTCGCCACAAAGCTTTTTTACAACGCGTGTCACAAGAGCTGGTCCATTTTGTACATACTCCTTTCCATTATAATTTTTTTCGTAATCCCGCAAAAATAATTCTGCAATCTCATGGCCCTTGCCAGTGGGTTCTAGACCGATGACAGCATTGCCCAAAGTGATATTGTCATGAGCACCCACATAGTTAAGTGGCTCGTTTTCCAAGCTTCGCAGCACTACCACGTCCATGTCCAGGTAGATGCCACCAAAGCGGTATAGGCTTATCAAACGGAGTAAGTCGGCTGTATGCTGCATCGGAAAGCTGAGTGGAATATACTTCAACTAAGGTACTCACCAGAGGAAAGAGTAATATCGACTTACCTCGAGTTAAGCAGATCACCTTTCTTAATCCAATCCTCAACAGGAGTGTCGCTCGCATAATTCCTTATGTTCAAATGACGAAACCGCACATTTTTATAGATCTCAATTGCATCGATGAGGAGCTTTTGGCCACCGGACAGAGGACGGTATGTTGGACAGGAAAATAATACAAACACTTGGAAATTTGGATTATTCAAGCCGGCGGATTCGATGGCACAGGCTTGTCTTGCCGTCAGATTCATTACATTGAACTGCGAAACTTGATGATAACATGTGGTCTCGTGGAAGAATATAGTGCGACCTGGCGGAGGTCTTGAGCTCGAAAGTAGAACATCTTCTACGAAAAACTTATTTAATAGTATTCCTACGTTGTATGCAGTTGACCGTTCCTTGGTTTCGCAATTACGATAAAAAAGCGTCGACATGTCCTGTGTTGTGTATATTATAAGAAGCACTACCACACTAACGACCAGGATGGGTAGTATCAGACGTGGTCTTTGGTTCTGAAAATCCATCAGCAGCTTCTTTTGAGTTACGAACATGTTGATCCGGCCCAGCTCTACTTATGCCACTTACTAAGCTAATCTTTACTGTGCCCAGCATTTTTTTTCAGTATTACGATCGTAACGATCAAGTTTACTCAGCTGCGTCAATTTAAAAGACGTTGAATAGAAACTATTGCTAAAGTGTGTTATCTATGTAAAAAAAAGTTCTTTTTGCATTATTGAATGTGAATAAATTTGACAATGATAGTAACACAGTACAAAAGTTGCATACAATGTGATATTAGCACTGATTTCTTTAATAGCAAACAAGATTATTTTTTAAATAATAACGATTATTTATTTTAAATTTTTCATACGATGATAAAATATTAAATTCGATAAATTACTCGATAACAGGATCGATATGCCAAATGAGCTACTTATGAAATGGGCTAAAAAATACCAAAGATGCTCTGCTTCTTGACACATTTTTTTTTTCATAAACTGGTAGCACCACGCAGCAACATTGTGAATGACAAAACGAAAGAAGTGTAAAAAAAATTGTTAAAATTTGCAATTGTGAAAAGCATCAAATTGGCTGCCGCAACAATACGACCGGTACTCGTACCAAACGTTAAATCTATTAAATCATATAGCAAAATAGTGAAATGAATGTTCCTCCTAGCGCTGGCAATGGCAATGCAGCGATGCCGATGCCGCCAGCCGCCGCAATGGGCGGCATGGGATACACGCACACGCCGGGAATGGTGCCAGTGCCACCATTCAATCTGCCGCCGCCCGGCTTTGGTGCACCGCCGCCACCGGAGCTAGCAGCCGCATTTGGTGCCCTCGCCTCAAATACGGAGTGGACCGAGCATAAAGCGCCGGATGGACGACCGTATTATTATAATCAAAATACAAAGCAGAGTTCATGGGAAAAGCCGGAGGCGCTAATGACGCCAGCTGAGCTACTGCACAATCAGTGCCCCTGGAAAGAGTATCGCTCAGATGCAAACAAAGTGTATTATCATAATGTGACTACGAAGGAGACGTGCTGGGAGCCACCGCCAGAGTATCTTGACATGAAGGCCAAAGCCAAGGCGGAGGAGTAAGTATCTGTTGCCTTTATGCCAAAACACTTTGCTGAAACAAAAAAACGCGTATTCTTGCAGAGCAGCCGCTGCGGCTAAAGCCGTTGCCGCCATGACATCCTCGAGCTTAGCAGGTATGGTTCCGCATGTTGCATTGGCCAATATTCTGCCAGCTGCGTTGCCCACAGCGCCGCGCATACCCACGCCTGAGATACACTCACCCCTGACGCCAAGCAGTAATGAAAATAGCTCCTCAGCAATGGATCAGGCAATGGCAGCCACTCTAGCGTCCATCGAGGTGCCACAACAGAATGGTGAGAAGCCAGAGTACAAATTTAACTAGGCCTTTAACGATTTGTTGTCTTCTTAGCTAAAAAGGAGGAGAAATCTAGTGGCGAGAACAATACGCTGGTTTTTAAAGACAAGCGCGAGGCCATTGAGGCGTTCAAGGAGCTCCTGCGTGATCGAAATGTGCCCTCAACTGCGAACTGGGATCAGTGCGTCAAGATTATATCAAAGGATCCGCGTTACAATGCCTTCAAAACGCTAAACGAACGCAAACAAACTTTTAATGCATACAAAACACAAAAGCTGAAAGATGAACGCGAGGAGTCGAGATTGCGTGCCAAAAAGGCTAAGGAGGATTTGGAACAGTTTCTCATGTCCAGCGATAAGATGAACTCACAAATGAAATATTTTCGTTGCGAGGAAGTTTTTGCGAACAATCGCACGTGGACAACGGTACCAGAACAGGATCGAAGAGATATCTACGAGGATTGCATCTTTAATTTGGCCAAGCGTGAGAAGGAAGAGGCTCGTGTGCTCAAGAAACGCAATATGAAAGTACTTGGTGAGTTGCTAGAATCAATGACATCCATTACGTACGCTAGCACGTGGTCGGAGGCGCAGGTAATGTTGCTGGACAATGCGGCGTTTAAAAACGATGTCACTCTACTCGGCATGGACAAGGAGGATGCGCTTATCGTATTTGAGGAGCATATCCGCACGCTTGAGAAGGAGGAAGAGGAGGATCGAGAACGGGAAAAGAAACGTTTAAAACGACAGCAACGCAAGAATCGTGATGGCTTCCTCGCATTACTTGACTCGCTGCATGAGGAGGGCAAACTCACCTCTATGTCTTTGTGGGTGGAACTGTATCCAATTATATCGGCGGATATACGTTTCTCTGCTATGCTGGGTCAGAGTGGCTCCACGCCACTTGATCTTTTCAAGTTCTATGTTGAGAATTTGAAGGCACGTTTCCATGACGAAAAGAAGATCATACGGGAAATACTCAAAGAGAAGCAGTTTGTTGTCCAGGCGAAGACATCTTTTGAGGACTTTGCCACCGTTGTGTGCGAAGATAAACGCTCCGCCAGCCTGGATGCCGGTAATGTAAAGTTAACTTACAACTCGCTGCTAGAAAAGGTAAACTAATGTCTAAAAACCAGCTGCTGATCTATTTAACAAAAATATATATGTGTTTATTTATTTTTAGGCGGAAGCCATTGAAAAGGAGCGCATGAAGGAGGAGGTGCGGCGCTTGCGAAAATTGGAAAATGAAATCAAAAATGAATGGTTGGAGGCAAATGTGTCCGTGGGCGAACCCTATGAGAGCGCCAAAAAGCTGGTCGAGCATTTAGAGGCGTTTGCGCTGTACGAAAAAGAAATTGGAGTGGAAAAGGTCTGGGAAGATTTTATCAAAGAGAGTGAAGATGCCTGCAGCCATCATCATTCGCGTTCACGTAAATCGAAAAAGAATAAAAAGCATAAAAAACGTGTCCGCTCAACCTCTAGATCAGATATCGAGAACGAGCTGGTTGAGCTGGAAAAGTCCAGAAAGCGACGCTCAAAATCTCGCTCAGTGAGTTTGTTGACCATATACTCATCTTTAATAGCTTATCTAATAGTTGATATTTTTCACACAGAATTCTCTTAGTTCAATTGGCAGCATTGAGAGTGAAAAGCTGTTAAAAAAGAAGAAAAAGCGCAAAAACAAATCGAGAGCGGTACGTCCTTGAAGTCTTTTATATTTAGCCTTTAAAGTCATTCAAAAAAAAATATTGTTGATTTTCCAGTCGTCTTGCGAATCCGAAATGGGCAATCAAACGCCAATTACTGCTGCTGCACTGCAGCAGAACGACTCAAATTCGCACTCACCGGCCAAAAAGAAGAAAAAAGAGAAGCGCACCAAAAAGGACAAAGAAGCCAAACGGCATAGAAATAATCGATCCACAACGCCGCTCAGTCCTGCAGCTCAATCGGATTCAGCGACATCCAGAAATGAGGAGCTAACGCTTAGCGATGGTGAACTTGAATCCAAACGTGCAGCGCTGCTAGCTCAGCTTAATGAACAACTGGACGAATGACCAGCTACAATCGCAAGATCAAAAGCTAATTAACAACAACAGCAGTTAGCATTAGTCAGCTATAGCCATAATATAGACAGTGCGACAGTGTGCCCTAGTTAATATACGTTGATCCAAGCTCCAGCAACCTAAAAACTTTAGGCCTGCTCTTCGTGGACACGCTATAACGTATTTATGCTATCGCACATATCATTTGCTTTGTTCTGGAACACTCTGGCCCTAGCACAACAAATCCCACACAACGCAGGCAAACAAATGTAAGTTTTTCATCAGCGATAAGTTTGATTGTAAAGAAATTATAATATTATTATAAGACAACAACAAAATAATATTATTTGCACTTTGTGTGACTACAAAATCAACGGATTTATTTATTTATCTAAATGAGAGAGAAATAGAATACACTTTTTTTTCGCAACTCATCGTAAATTTTTGTATTTTGTATACACATTGCTTAAATCGATCAGATTTTAAAGCTAGATTCGATTTGTAGAGTTGCTCAATTCAGAATTTGATTAAATTATAAATATACTCTCTGCTAAGCCATGTTTGCTGGCTGAACATGAAAGAAAAAAAAACTTTTTAAAACTAGGTATTCCCCGCTAATATTTCGTTTCATCAACAGTAAAAATATATAGTTAAATTATTTTTAAAGAAAAATTGAAATTATTTATTTATTTGATTTTTAAAAATATTTTCTGGCCAAGACATGTAAATTCAACAAAATGCAAAGAAATTAATGGATCGGTATACGGTCGTTTTAAAGGCTTATATGGGTTTGAGGATCGGTTCGTAAACTAGATTAACTCTGGTTTCGGTTCACAAATTCGAACATGCTTATGAAACAATCCCAATTTTAATTAATAATTGCCCATGCTACCGAAAATATTGCAGGCCATCGATATTTTCTTATAGAAGTTGCGGGCTAAATAAGATTTCTTCCCCAAATTGGCATCTACCAAGTATGGTTATTTCGTGGATCCAATGGTTGGGACTTAAGTTATTTATACACGGGCAAATTCCAAAAATTTAATATTGCGGGTTCGATTCGGCTAGGCTCAAAACCGACTTTCAACCGTGAAATAAGTTGCCCGGATTTCAAAACTCCCACAATTTACTTATTAATAATCAATTATTTGAACTCGACAAAAAAAGAATGTTTTTTTAAAATGTTTACTATTATTTTTTAATGACAATCTTGTATCTTGAAACAGCAAATGCGCTTACAGAAGCACTGCGAATATTGTTGTACTAAAACTTGAATTCCTTGTACTTCTTTGTGGTCTTTGCTGGATCGGTTTGTTGTCGCTTGCGTTTCGATTTTTGACGCGCCACATGCTCCGCCAACATGTCCGATAAGTCCTCCTTTTGCAAGTGATTCTGTTGCTCGCGCATTTGCTGCTCATAACGCTGGGCCATCGCATCGTTGTCCAGATCCAATTCACTAGGATCCAAGGCCAATTCGACGATGCCTTCACGATCTGTAGTGGAGCGCACAGGCGGTTGTTTACTGGCACCAGCGCCGCCGCCAATGTCATACACATGCGTTGAGCCCATCATGGAGGCGCCTATGCGGTCTGTGCGCTTCTCTGGCAGCACCTGATACAGAACAGGCGTTTCATTGCTGTTTAAGAGGAATCGAATAATTTAGCTGGTCTTATGTAAATGAGGATTCAACAACATCAACTTACTCTTCCATTTCGGCTTCTATTTTCTTTTTGCGTAATTCAATGTTCTCGGGTGTTTCCATGCCCGCTGGAACACTGGTTAGACCCGAGGGCGTAACCAGACCCTCAACTGGCGTTACCAAACCGGTTTCGTCCTGCTGATTGCCCAGATCCTCGCCATCCTCCTCCTCCTCTTCGGAGGATTCCTCCGATTCGGATTCAAGTTCACCCCATTGGTTGCGCTCAATGTCCGCTTCATCGATGCCGTTCTGTTAAAGCAAATATTAAATATTTATATCATTTTAACTTGTCTATCTACTCACATCCAAATCAAGAGTATTCATGCCGAATACATCGCCATACAGAGGCTTGCCGTTCTCATCAACTGGCGGCTTACCCCAGCCGCCTGCATGATAGCCAAAGGAGGTGCCCTCTGGTATGGGCGCATTTAAGCCGGGTATTTTTAGATTGGGATATGACGGCGGCGGACCGTAGCGCTGTTGGGCAATCAGCCATGGTGGCGGTATTTTGTGGGAATTGGGCCCAACCGGCATGCCCAGGGCAATGCGCAACTCTTCAGAAAGATCGCCTGGCTTTTTCTCTTTTAGACGCGTCTCAAACTCTTTTCCCTCATAATATAGATCACCATGAATGGTCATGCGTGGCTTTGTTTGCCACTTGAAGAAAGCATCGTGCAGTTTCTGATAGTCAATGTCTATTTTGCCCATTTTTGGGCGAACACGTTCGCGCATCTTTGCCTTTAGTGTTTTGGCATCTTCGCGCTCTTGCAGGGATTCACGCATCTCCATGATGCCAGTTTTCTTTATAAACGCTGGCAGATCAAAGGGTGGCTTCTCAATACCACGCTTGCCCTGCAGATATTTACGCTTGAAGCACCAATGACGCGGCACCTGCACCGTATTGCGATAGGCCTTAAGCTGGACAAGCAGCTTTGGGTCCCGGGCTGTCACATCGTGCATTTCAACAACATCCGGCCGTGAGACCAATTGCTTAAGCTCTGCCACGCTGAGACGTGTGAGTTTTTTCAGCTTGCGCTTGGATAACTTCTCTTTGTCCTCCTTATTGTCATCGTCATCATCTCCATCATCATCGTCGTCGTCGTGCATTTTGTTGGATGATTTCTTGGCTTTGGCCAAAGCTTCGGCATCCAGAGCTGCCTTGTCTTTTTCAACGGGTTTCGGCTTGTTTTCCAGCTTAAAAATCTCAAAGACGCGGTAGAATTGACGATACATGGGCGCCAGGTCTGCAATAGTTATCTTCTCGGGCACATATCTGAGTATTTGGAATATATTAAGATATATTAGTGTATATAAACAAATCTGCATGCACATACTCAATGGTGACATCCTCCTCGCCGTTTTCCGATTTCTTACGTTCTTTGGCCTTATCCTTTTCTTCGGCTGCGCGCTCCTTTTTCTTTTTGCTGCGACTCTCTTTCTTTGTGTCCTTTTCCTTCGCCGGCGGCTGCTCGTCGTCACTACCGGCCACCTTCGGTTCGTCCTCAGGATCTAGTTCCCTTGGCTCAGAGTGGCGCGCCAACTGCTGTTGCCGTTCAAACTCCAACCTTTGTCGTATCTTTTTGTTTTGCTTCTTGCGCCGTTTCTTCTTTTTGTTTTTGTCCGCTTTACTCTGCTTGCCCGGCTTGTCGCTGTTGACGCCGTTTAATTGGTTGTCGGCCTCCTCATCGCTATCTTCGCCTACATCGGCAAAGTCACCATCTTGCGACGTCCCGTCTCCACCGTGGCCACCTCGTGCATCCACATCAGTGTCGAACTCAGCTACGCGCTGATCCTTTAATGCAAGCACATCTTCCAACGCCTTTGGCAGCACTAAGTCAGCCGCTTTTTTTGAGTCGACGATTGCTTGTGCGTCGTCAACGTCGCCGGCTCCGCTGCCATTAGCAGCTACATTGTCAATCGTTTGTTGCTGATCGAAACGAATGGACATCAATGCCGCCGGTTGAACGCCCTGTGCGAAATGATGTGTGATTAACTATAAAGCTTTAAACTTATAAACACTACAATTACATCAGGTTGAATTTGGTCAGCCATTTTTATTATATTTTAAATAATAAAATAAACAAAAATCCCAACGAAAATGCAAATTTTGGTGATGTCCTAATCGCGTTATCGATTGATTTGGTGGTGGCGATGTCAATGTACAATTTACAACACTGTGTTTTGCTTATCGATAACTTTTGCTTTTAGCGTGGTTCTGTGTTGAGTGAAGTACATTGTTTAACAGCTGAGTTTCATGTAAACATAGCTTCAATAAAGAAAATAACTTATAAATATTTTGCTTTTGATAGTTACTTAAATAACATTCTATTACATTTTTTCAGGATTGCTCAAGTGCCGGTATAACAGCAAAAAAGTGAACCAAACCAAACAGGGTGACTTAGGTATTAAAAATGTTCAAGTTCAATTTTGAAGTGAACGATTCGGATTCATCGGACAACACTGAGAGTCCTTTTAAAAAACCTAAAGTTGACCAAAAGATAAATTCAGAATCAGAAAAAGACGAAAAGATACTCTGGTATAAAGCAGAGCAAATAAAGCCAACTAAAGTCATTTTACAAAGCTTGGATCTGTACGAACTTAATGCAAAAGTACTAACTTTCAAAGACGTCGAACTACGGCATATAATTGCGGGCTTTCTGCTTGAAGATATTAAAAAAAACAGTGATGTAGATAGTAAAGACATTAAGAAATCCGAAGAAAGTCACTCTGATTTAATAGCAGGTGTATATGAAGGTATGTCGTGTTAAAATTACTTCTGTATTTAGAAAACTAACAACTTTCGTCAACAGGTGGAGCGAAAATTTGGGAGTGCACTGATGATTTGTTAAAATATTTGTTCAAAAACTATGAAAAAAAACATTGGGAGAACAAGCTGGTCTTGGACTTGGGCTGCGGATCTGGGCTTTTGGGAATATACGCGATGAAATGTGGTGCGAAAGTAGACTTTCAGGATTATGTAAGAAATTAATAGTGCACTGCCGTTTCCAACAATGTAGCTTAAACATTATTTCAGAACAAGGACGTTTTGGAGAAAATCACAATACCAAATGTACTGCTTAACTTAAATGAAACGTTAACCGATGATGAAAAAATTGATCAGCTACAAAAAAAAAGTAATTTCTACGCTGGCGACTGGTCATATTTCACGACACTTACAGAAAACCTTGAGAAATATGATATAATACTAACATCAGAAACGATATATAACATGGAAAATCAACAAAAGCTATTGGACACATTTAAAAAACGACTAAAATCAGACGGTATTGTTCTGGTAGCTGCCAAATCACATTACTTTGGTGTTGGTGGTGGACTAGAGCAGTTGGTTGAGTTTATAAAAAGTGGAAAAGATTTTCTAAGCACCTATTTGTGGCAGGCTGATGAAAATCTCAAGCGCGGCATAATCCAATTAAAGTTGCAATGAAAAAAATACTATCGTGTACTTGCCGATGATTTCTTATGCAATTTAATTGCTAAGCGAAACACCCTGTGATGGGGGTGGGCAAAGAGTTGGGGTTTTGTTTTTATCGCAAAACGACGCGACTGCGTAAGTACACGAAAAAATGTTAATAAATATATATTTTAGTTTTCAAATTGAATATTTATTTGCGCTTTTAAAGCACACACTGTGGCTTGACTTTGGTCCTAAATTAAATTTCAACAAATTATTCTCTCACACGCTGCGTGGAAAACGAATTCCTTTTTGCACTGCCGGCCCGGTCCCACTATAAATCGATGCGTCTCAATGTCGACGACAACTGTGAACTTTTTCGAGGCAGCCACAGAAGCCGAGCGGCGCGAAGCGGAAACGCGAAGCCTCTGCTGCTGCGAATACATAGGACAGGATAAGCAGCCATTTCATATCTTAGGATGCTGTTGTAATTGCGAAGACTGTGACTTGGTATGCACACGGTAGGCAAAAACACCACCCCCCTCCCTCCCATCAACCACACACACACCCACAAACCAACACACTATTGCCAAGTGATTGATTGCAGTTATGCGATTGAGAGATGTACCATGGTGCACAATACCGATACTTCAGCTGAATCTCTACATTTATTCCGTGGGCTTTATCGTGTTTCACCTCTTAATCATATGACCCTGATATTGGATGAATTTATTTAAGCAATTCACAAAAATTTGCAGACTCATCACGTGTAAACGCATTGAACAGCGCAACATAGACGGCATGTTGATTGCATTCCAGGACCGGCTGCGTTTACCATGGCGTGGTGGCGCCAAACGCATATCACTCGCTGCACTGGCGCCAGCCATAATACTGCCCATCATGATGGGGCTGGCGGCGCTCAATGCCAAGACTGCTATCATAATTATGCTCACGCTGATGGTCTTTACATATTGGGGCTTGCAAATCGCAGAGCGGACGGCCACGAAAACCAGCTTTTTTTTAAGCTGGATTGTCTTTTCGGTAATCTACATGGCGTTGATATTTGAGTGCGAAGTGCCGCTGCTGGAGCTGTTGCCGATAGAGAACAATATATTGCTCTTATTGTCATTGGGTGCGATATGTTTGTGGTATCGCATCAAGAAATTGGCGCCGCTCAATCTGGTGACCGCTCAATACGGAACCACGCCTAAGGATGAGCTGCCAGGCATCACGGAAGCCTCCAGTGGTGAGGAGCAGGCCGAGCAGCAGGCACACGAATCTATCAGGCTAAAGGGAGACACTGTGCTCGGCATCGACGGCGATGATGATGATGATGACGCTGCTATAAACAGCTCTGAACATGCTGGCCTTATGCAGCATGCCGCCCAACCGAATATCTGTGACACTTGTCGCAAGGTGACGCCTAGGCATGCCTATCATTGCGCCGTCTGTGGCAGCTGCGTTAAGCGCCGCTCTCATCACAGTTACTGGCTCAACTGTTGCATTGGTGAAAACAATTATCGTTTGTATCTGGCGGCGCTGGTGCTATCCGAATGTGCCCTGCTGCTGGGCGCAAATTTGACATTGACGGCCGTTTGCCATCCATTTTTGGTGGTGCGTCTGCTGAGCCTTCCCCTGCTGCTGCCCGATGACTGCAGTGAGGTCTTTGAGGACTTTGAGTGAGTGTCGGCCAGAGTATCATGTTGGATAAACAGATTTATATTTTCCTTCTTTACATTCTCCGTAGATTGGGCATATCGTTTATTGTGGCCGGCTATGCCATGCTCATCTCTTGCTATATTGCCTTTGTCCTGGTGCGTCAATTGTATTTGTTGTGGCGTGGCACCACCATGCATGAATATAAGCGCGCCCCAGCTCACAATGGGAATCGCAATCGGGTTTGGAGCAATTGGCGGGCTATTTTAAATTGATGCAACGAGCGAGCATCAGGTACATTTAGAAGCCCGACTACTATAATATTAAAGCCCAAATACTATTGATTAAAGCCAAGGTATTTAGTTGTATTATGTAGCTTTGCCTGTCTGAGCGGAGTCTATATATATATATTTATAATATTATTTATTTATGCCCATTAGTTTATGTTTGTGTTTATCGAGAGCGCACAACTTAAACTTTTAGGAATGCGTTTAGTTAAACGTGATAATTGACGCTTACTTTGTTTATATGAGGGCCTTTAAACGTGATTAAACATTTAATCCAAATATATGTTAAAAGTAAAAGTATTAAATGAAATTTCCGAACATATGAGAACTTACCAACCTTAACAAACAGTTTTAGCATTATGTGAAATTAAATTATTAGTGATTAGAGTTATTGTGATAATCGCTTCATTTTGAATGAAAATTGAACATTGAAACATTTTTGATTTTGTTGCTTTTAACTAAGCGCAATCTGCGAATGTAATTAGGTTTTATAATTTCCAGACAAAACAACATTTGTTGTCGCTACTGTTTATTATATAGGATATATAATTAAATACAGTGATCGCTTACACAAGAGACTATTTTCAGAGCTAATTGAAGTTTGCTAAAAATTCTCATTCCCAGATGCCTCCCTTTTTCAAACAATAAATTTAACTTCAAGTATTTGCAAGGAGCTTGCCTGCATTCCTATGTTAAAAAAAAAAACTATTCCGAAAATTGGAATTTAATTAACTAAGCAAAAAGTTTATAATTTTTGGGCTGGCTGGACTTTACGTGACCCCGGGGTGACATGAGCTCGAGCCAGCGTAAAGTCAAACAAAAAATAAAATAAATAGACAAAAGCAAGAAAATTAAACAAATTTACAACAAATAAAAATATCAACTACCACAAGCTGTCCTCCCTGGGCTTGTAATCGGGCAGCAGCTCCCAAATTTTCATGCGCCAACGCTGGCGACGCTCTTCCGTCTCCTTTTCCAAGCGTAAAATTTGCGGCAGTCGTTGCCAACAATCCAGGACCTTCCATTTCAGGTGCCTTAAGAGGGATATATACATACACAGGACTCTACAGATTCAACTCGGGCACTTACCACTCGTGATGAGAGATGGCCTGTCGCAGCTTGGTGTCCTCAACCAAGCGACAGCCGGTTGTGTAGTTAAGCCAGCGTCCAAACCAGTGCTCCATGGCATGCAGGGCATGCCAGTCAATGGCCACCAGCATCTTGTTGCGCTCCTCCTGGATATAGAGCCGCCAGGCATTTACGGCCCGTCGCTTCAACGCCTTCTCGTAGCACAGTTCCGCACGGAAGCGCTTCTCCCGTTGTCGGCATGCCGTATATTTTTGCCATTCGACAAAGAACTTCCGCTTATATAGATGCCGACAGAATTCCTCGCACTTGACCAGATTGTCGCGCTTGCGCTGTAGCAAACGCTTGAAGCCCTCCATGCCAATGCGACGCAATAGCAGGCGACGACTGAACTCCAGAGCCTTGCGTTGATTCTCAATGAATCGCTGACGTTCCCGCTCCTTCAGCACCTTAGCCATTTTCTCCTGGCGGCGCTTCTCCTTCAGCACCTCCATGCGCAACCGTTTGGCCTCCTCATCCTCCTGGCGCTGTTTGGACAACACTTTGAAAACGAACTCTTTGTGTGCCTGCGCCGACTTACCTTGGCCTCCTCCATGGCCAGCTTGGCTGCCTCGCGCTCAGCCTCCGCCTGGGCGCGACGCTGACGCGCCTGCTCATGTCGCACACTACGCTCTAGGGCGCGCTCTTGCATGTGCCGCAGAAAGCGTGGCTGCAGCAGCGCCTTTCCCTGCAGCCGTTCCAGTTCCTCGTCCTCGGCATCGCGCAGACTGCCTATCAGCTGCAGGCACTTGGCCTTGGCCTTTGCCTTGGGATCGCCACAGCGTATGACGGTTTTCAATTCCTGCTTAAGATCCTCGCGTGCCTCTTTTGCCTCGTCGCTGAGCTTATGCAGCTTCAGCTGCATAATAAGACGCTCCTGACGCTCCAGCTTGATGCGCTGCAAATCTATGATGTCCTGCTGCACCTTTAGCCTACAAAAGCATAGGGAATACGCAAGTGAAAATTGGAGCATTCCCAGTCAAGGTCAGGAGGTCTTGCTGTCATACTTATTCTTAAACTGCTTGGCCATTTTGATGGCTTCTTCGCGCTGCTCCAGCGTCTTTTTCGCTATTTTCTCCGCATCGTTTGGCGTCGAAGGCCGTTTGTTTTCACGCTGACGCCTCTTCTCCTGCCTGAGCTTGTCTAGAAATGCATTTATTTTGGTAACACGATTGATGTGCGTTTTGCCCGGCTCCCGTTCGATCTTCTCCATGGTAGTATAATGTATCCACCTGAGAAAGTACTTGCGCATAAGATTCAGATCCGTATTGCTGCGTGCCTGGAACAATTGCTCAATAATCCGTTGCTTCTCAGGTGGCACAGCCGTCGGATTGTCATCGTCTGAGCTGCTGCTGCTACTGCTGCACAGCTGCGTTTCTGGCTTGGGCACGAGGACCACTTTCGGTAATTCAATGCGGCGTATAAGCAACGGCTCCGGCTCCGGCTCCGCCACGGATGAGGCTGCCGGTTCGGTTGGTGTCTTCGCTGTCTCGGGCAGCTGGAATTTCACGAGCTTCACGGGCGCTTCAACTGGCACAACCAGCTCTATGTCCAGTTGCAACTTTTCCTGCTCAGCTGCTTCCAGTTGCAGCTCATATAATGCTTCCTCGGCCAGATCCGATATGACAGAATCAATGCCCTCGCTGGTATTGGAGCAGGTGGAAGATTCACGCTGCAGCTGTGGCTGCTCGGCCGGCTGCTGCTGCTGCTGCAGTTCCTCCTCGTGACGTATTGTGCGCACGTGCAGCATCTGACGCTCGGCAGCGGCGCGCATGGGCCTGAACATTTCCTCGGTGGTTAGGAGAGGACTTGGCGTGCGACAGCGTTGTTGTAGCTGCGCCTTGCTCTCGTCCAGCTGCACCTGCTTGACAAACTTACGATACTCCAGCATGTCCAGCTCTTCGCGCAGCTCCAGCTGCTCGTCCTGCTTCAACTCCACACGTTCCAGCCAGATGTGTTCTATGTCCGCGCCCGCCTCTTGCTCCGGCTCCAGCTGTCGCAGCAGCGTTGTCGTCGCCAGCTGTTTGCGTATGGAGCACAGCTGCGCGGCCTGACCCAGTGCGTCGACGGGCGTCTTATAAAAATTGTCAATGTGTTGCGCCGCCTGCGACAGACTCTCCATTAAGGGGCCATGGTTGAGCTTAAAGTCCGGCTTTGTGGGCCGCACACGTATCTGCCGCTCCTGCACGCGCGGATGTTGTCTGGCCAGTTGCTGGCGAAACTTTTGCAGCTGATTGTTAACATAACGCTGTTCCACATCCAGATTATGCGCCTTGGTCGCGTCCAGTGTGCTGCCATGCGCCACTGTGGCCAATGGCAGCTTGCGTGGTATCTGAGAGAACTGCAGCAAGGATTAAGGATTATGTCCCATGGGCTTATGGACTCACCATCTCATGACGCATATCCATTATAACGCTCGGATTGAGTTGATGTTGCGGCTCACCGTGAATAAGCAGCTGGGATTGCCGTTTGCCAATATAGTCCACCTCAATGAAACGACGCACTGCATCCGTTTTAAGGCCCAGCGGATTCGCATTTAGATGACGTTTGCGTATGCGATCCCAGCGCGTGGGCTTATTCAGTTTTTCGCGACGTTTTTGTAACGACATTTGATATTATTATTCCACAAATATTTTTTATTGAAATTAATTGAACTGTCTGAAAGAAAATCAAGGATTGCTTGTACACAATTTGGAAATGTTGTCCTGGCAACTAACTTGACGTCGGCTTACAACTGACAACTATCAAATTTTGTAATATCAGAAGCCAATGGTTGCTATGCAGCCGATGCCCCAGAAATAGAAATATTTCTTTTTCCCTTTTAAGAAAATCAACCTGCCGGGCAAGGCCGGGCTATACCCGCTAGTTGAATTGGATTTGTATTACGTTCTGAAGCCAAAGAACTTACACATCCGAGTTATTCCATTTATATCCTCACAATATATCGTGTATCAACAAAAATAAGACAGACAGACTCGACTTTTGATGCTGATCAAGAATATATATACTTTATTTGATCGGAGATGCTTCCTTCTGCCTGTTCAATACATTTGCACAAATACATTATGCCCCTTTTATCCATTTTTAATGGGCTCAGAGTAAAACTAAATTGAGTGCAAGGGGTTTTTAAATTTGTAGCTAATAGTTGCCCGTCTTGGAATCTTTTTGCAAATATACATATTTTTTAGGTCTACTACTAATATAATCAAGAAATAGAATCAAACCATAATTTCGCATTTTGAAGCGCAAGTTCCGATTTAATAACAAAACGTTTGCAATATATGCAATAAATATACATAAGGAGTAGTAACACAATTTTGGACTTGAAAGCTTAGTTTATGCTGAGTATGGAGCGAGAGCGGGCGGCTAGTGGATTAGGCAGGATTTAGGCAGCAGCCGGATCCTTCTTGGTCTTCTCTTTCTTCGTTTTCTGCTTGTCGGCAGCGGCCTGTTCCAGATCGATTGGTGCTGGCTTGACAAACGGAATCTCGTCCTGATACTTGCTCGGCATGAATTTCTTAAGAGGCTCGGGCACCTTGACGCCTGTCTCAGTCTGATGGGTTTCGAGTATGGCGCAAATGACACGTGTCGCCGCGCACATTGTGGCGTTTAGCATGTGCACGTAGTCGACGGCGGCGTTCATCTTCTTCGTTTGGCCATAGCGCACGAGGAGACGACGAGCCTGATAGTCGAGGCAATTGGAACAAGAGACCAGCTCTCTGTAGGCGCCACTGCCGCCAAACCAGGCCTCCAGATCGAGTTTCTTAGAGGCAGCATGATTGAGCGCACCGGACACGATGTTGACCACACGGTAGGGAATGCCCAGCGATTGGCAGAACTGCTCGGCATTGCCAATCATTTCGTCCATCATTTCCCAGGATTTGTTGTCGTGCGGCGAGGTCAACACAAACTGTTCGACCTTCTCGAACTGATGCACACGGAAGATGCCGCGCGTGTCCCGTCCATGTGAGCCCACCTCCTGACGGAAACAAGTGGACAGGCCGGCGTATTTGATTGGCAATGATGCCTCCGGCAGCCACTCATCGCGATGATAGGCCGCAATGGGCTGCTCAGAGGTGGCTATCAGGTATTTCTCATCAGTGCCGCTCTCCTCGGCACGTTCGCTGCCCTTGCCCACAACCTTGTAGAGCTCCTCATCGAACTGCGACAGTTGGGCCACTTCCTGCATAACCTCCTTGCGCATAAAGAAGGGTGTGTACAGCGGCACATAGTCACGTGCATAAAGCAGATGCAGAGCATGTTGTATTAGGGCCTGCTCCAGGAACACCGCTGCGCCTGTTAAGAAGTAGCCGCGTCCACCCGATACCACGGCGCCCTTCTCGGCATTCATGCCGTCGATCATCACAATGAGATCCACATGCGAGTACTTGCCGCGCTTCTGGCAATCGCCAAAGGTGCGCTCTACGCGGTTTTCATCCTCGTCGTTGGAAACTGGCACAGATTCGTGCAAATGATTGCCAACCTCGCGCAGCGCCGTATTACGTGTTTGCTCGGCCAGCTCCAATGCTTTCTGGTTTTCAGTCATCGCATCGTCGATGAGTAAGCGCAGCTGTTTGATTTGATTAACCGTCAGCGGCTGCAGCGTGTCGGCTGTGACCTGAGTCAGATCGGTGCGGATAGCGGCTGGCACCTCCTCGCCCTCGGAACCGACAGGCTCCTTCTTCTTCATTTTCTCGCCAATTACCTTGCTGCAGACATTCTTTACCTTGTTCAGGTTGTCGGCGCGATGACGTCGCTGACGCCATTCCGTGTCCTTTTCGATGACTGTCTCAACCAGGGCGACATCTTTGAAGCGTTTCTTTTGATTATCGCGCACCGCATCGGGATTGCCACCCTTGTCGCTACGAAACAAATCTAAATCCAAAACCATTTTTTACGCTTTTTACTTAATTTGCACAGCGGATTTCGTCAGCGTTTTGTTGTGTCGGCGTTTACCACAACGTGGCGGCTATAGAGATGCGCATTGATTGAGTTACTGTTATTGAGTAGCCGTTACTTGTCACCGGCAGCTGTTATATAGCTGTACTAAAACTGTAACTTTGCCGAAATGAGGACGCTAAGACAAAAGTTAACTGACAAACGTAATAAATATACTCAACAGCTATTAATACATTTAAAAAGCATGCAAGAAGTAGCACCTAACGCCTGGAGCTTTCTCATCGCTATTTAATGGCTGTTATCGATAGTATTTCACAGTGAAGCACTAGCCCTGGCTTGACGGTTACTTGTCTCCGGCAGTTGTTGTTGTTGCCTGCAATGAAATATGTAATATAATATGTAAGGCACGAGTTATGTAACAAATGCCATACACAGGTTTATCAGTTACTATTATACATAAAAATGTTTGTTAAATAACATGCCGAGAGTAGCACGTATTGCATGCGACTATCTCGTCGCTATTTGATGGCTGTTATCGATAGTTCTTGTTATTGACGCAGCAGCCCTGGCTTGAAATTTTTTAAAAATTGACTTCTTATTGAACATAAGATATATTTTATAAGTGCCGTCCCATACGCCATGGATTTCGTCGAGCGCGAATTGGTCGAAATACGCGCAAATTGTGAGAAACAAATAGCCAGCAGCAAAATAATTAGCTGCAGTGCTACGCTAGTGCGTGTCGACCTGCTGCCAGATAGACCCAATCGCACCATGACCGTTTGTTTACGCTTTCCCGAGGATTATCCAAAGAGCTCAGCCATTTTGGTGGAGCTCAAGAGTCGTGTGTATTCCGACAAATTGCTCGCGGAGCTCACACGGCTAATGGACGACTATGCAAGGGAGCATTTGGGAACAGCGCAAGCTTTGCTTGTATTGAGTTTTGCACAGCAATACTTGTTGGACAATCCGCTGTGCGTGTGCCTGGACGAGATCAAGCAGCTGCGCATGGATATAAAAGGCGTAGAGAACTCACAAAATGTTGCCAGTCAGCTAAAGCTTCGACAGCGCACAAGTTGCGTGGAATTAATTGCCCGTGGCGGCAGTTACGTCTATCGCGTGACAGCCGCCGTGCCCGACTCCTATCCCAACCAGTGCGTGGAACTGCGTGGCCAGGAGTCAAATCTGCCCACTGTCCTCGTGCGTTATCTGAATGGACAGTCCCGGGAGATAGCACGCCAATGCGTTGAGCCACCGTTGCGTCTCAGCAAGGAGGAGCTGGCGCACTTTCGACCCGTGCGTAGTCTCTACCGTACGCTGAAGTTTTGCCTGGAGGCTACACGGGATTTTCATCAGGAATTGTGTCCGATTTGTAATAGTACCGTGCTGCAGGCACAACCAGAGTCTATGGTGCTGGACGAGCATGCGGATGCGTTTGTCGAGCGTGTCTACTGCGGCCATCTCTTTCATCAGGGCTGCCTGAAGTTGTACCTGTCCGAGCCACCGTTTCCCAAAGGCGGTAAACTGTGTCCGGCCAAGCGCCGACATCCGCGCTCCGATGCACAAACCTACATGGGCAAGGGAGCCACTGCAGCAGCCACGTCCGCAGCAAGCGGCAGTCAGAAGAAACTGGATGGCGCCGTCTGTGGCATAAAGCTAGCCCATGACCGTTGGGTGGTGAATGTGAAGACGGCCGAGGCGCGTTGGGCACAAAAACAAGCACGCCAACGCGAACTGGAGGAGGTTGTCGACTTTCTGCAGTAAGGTGGGAACAGAACAATTTGGTTTTTGTACATATATTTAACTTGTGATGTATATTATTCGAATACGCTTAAATGGCTGCAGATGCTAGTTATGAAATAAATAGACAAATGATAATGAGATAATGAGCGAACGACACTTATTAGTCTTAAAATTTGGATTACTGTGCTTTGTGCGACTAGGTTATATATGTATATTTCGCATGTGCGGTGTTTTGTGTTTCTATTTTTCTGGAAGCACTTGCATCATTGACTTGGCAGACTTTAGAAGCCCGTGATAATTTCATCATCCTCGTGTCGCTTGATGGGATCACCCTTGATCAGCGATGAAATCAAGCTGCAAAAACGGAGCACATATACTAGCCATATAATGTATATAAACATAGATCAGACACTTACCAATAGAGGCCCACAAAGAACATGACAAAGTAGAAGCCCAGATAAATCATGCAATTCCTTAAATGCACCTTCAGCAGGCCGCGACTGTGTATATCCACGGGATCGTAGACGCCCAGGCTGTCGCGACGTTGCCGATGCAGCTCATAGAACAGCCACACGACCATGGGCAAATTGAGCAGAAACATCACCCAATGACTGAAAACAACAACAATTAACAAATCAGTTGAGCAACAATTGAAAGCAGCTACCCGGAGATTAGCAGCAGGGCGCAGAGCAGCGCGTGTGAGCCGAATTTGGGTATGACCCAAAAGTTGAGGCGACGACAGCATTCCTGTGCATTTAAATAGTCGCACTCCAAGTCCGCCAGCGTTAGCACCTGTTATAAAAAAATCATTTTCATTTAATTTTTCCGGCGGTTTTCTCAAATATGCCACTTACATAGTAAATTAATAGCAATAGTATGGCGCCATATACTAGCAATGTTATGCAGAACACAGCTGTTTCGGGCAAAAACATATTGGCGCTGCTAATTCACACCTTTTACTTAAAAACTATATATTTAAATTAATACAAACAAATGTTTTGCAGCATTTTCGCTGTTGTTATTAATTAGTGCTGACAAATAGTGTTGGAAAGTGCAATAAACATATGCTTCATTTACAACAGGCTGGCAACACTGCACATCTAAACCAATTTAATTGTTTGTAAAGAACGAAGTTATAGTTTTTTTTTTATTTGTAAATGGGCGGCAAAAGCTATTATTGTGATTACTGCTGTTGCTATATGAAAAATGACCTAAATGTGCGCAAGCTGCACAATGCGGGTGCTTCGCACACCGCTGCGAAGGCAACCTACCTGCGTCGCTTTGAGGGTGAGCTAGCGCTTGCATTTAAATGCATAATAAATAATATTAACGTATATGTTTAGATCCGCGCAAAATATTGGCAGCGGAGCGCAATAAACGGCCCTGCAAGCGTTTCTTTGCTGGCTATTGTAGATTCGAACAGCTCTGCAATTTCCGGCATTACACAGACAAGCAAATGGAGCAGCTCGAGAAAATAGGTGCATCATAAATTTGCAAGCAACATTCTTTTATTTACTCATTCTTAAACTATTTCCAGTGATTCAATTAAAAAAGAAAACCTCTAAGAAGCAAAGGAACCCGCAGAAAACAAAACGCAATTTGCCGCCCTCTCTGCAACCCCTAGACTTGACGCAGCTTAAGCAAACAAATTGGGACTTAAGTTGGGGCTAAAAAACAAAAAAACACGTTTCAGTAAGAAGATCAAATTTCCTATTTATAATAAATAATTGTTGATTAGTATAGGTTTCATCTAGTTTTGCCATTTAGAATGCCATTAACCTTATCCATGATACGAGAGACTTTTAAATTAATGCGCAAGACACGAGCATATTCATAATGAAACGATTTAGGGCTATGCCCGCTGAGGTTCTCCTCATCGGGATTGGCCAGATGAGCCAGGAGAAAGTAACACAAATGTTCAAGCTCGCCTTCAACGGCATAAAACAAACTTGCATTGCCCGCACGCGCTTCGGTGGCATTGAGTATCTCGTGCTTCAGCTGGCGTCTCAGCAGCTTCTGCTTGTTGTGCTCCAATCTGTCGCAGGCGCGCTCATAGTATTTAGCAAACGTTTTCTCATCACATTTATTATTGGCTTCCACATTTGTTTCCTTCACTTCTTCGGATGCACGCCTATAGATGGTTGCACCCAGCTGTCTCTCATCGATGGTGTCGCATATAATCTCAGCCATTCTGTAGCGATTGTGCCGCACAGCAATGTGGAGCGCTGTGTAGCCATCATCGTTGATTTGCAGCAGCAGGTTAAGATCAATACGCTGCATCAGCTCCCGCAGCGACTCCAACTGTATATTATTTATAATGGCTATGTGCAGAGCCGTATTGGCATCCTCATAGATATGATTGGGCAACACGCCGGCATTTAGCACGACTCGAACAATTTCTGGATCGCAGTCATTGATGAGCGCCAGCTGCAGACAATCCTCACCATCGGCGCTGAGTATTTCATTGAAATCCTTGTTGCCCTTCAACTTGGTCCACACATAAACCTGCCGCTGCAGGCACTGAACATCTCCAGCTAACATGGCATCGTGTATGGGCCTGACAAAGAGAAAAGAAATCAATTACTTTTTACTAAATATATGTCAAAGCTAGGATAACACGAATTGATCTTAGTGGAAACCTAGGACGCAATGCAATTAGGGTTTTGCCCGTCTATCAATACCCTGCACTTAGTTTCAGAATAGACTCAATTTAAATCTATAATTATTTGCACAAATACGTTTTGTGCCTCTTGTTTGATCTTTAGGAATTTTTTACCATAAATCAAGAGTTCACCATTAAGGATTGTTTTTTCATCAATTTATATGAAAATCAAACTACCCAATTTTTCACCCTAATGCTAAATCCTAAATAAACGATTAAGCCCACAACTTTCAGTCAATTTAAATTCTTATTGTATGCGTCATTTAGTATTTGTTAACTTAAGCTAGAACTCGTGAAATATGAAACTTTACGTACAGCAAACCCTCCGCGGACATTTCTTCAGCTCGTAAGAACTCTTTTTCCATCATCAATAAAATGATGCGTTCATTGTCATTGTTGATGTAATTCTCCATTTGATTGCATATCTCGAGCACATTGATGTCACTAAGATTGGATATATTGGACATGATTGAATCTCGACGTTCCATGGGATTCCCCTGGGTCGTGGGGCTGGCAAAAGGGCTGGGCTCCTGTGAAAATAATTGAAATAACAGAATCATTAGAAAGGCACAAGCGTAACTGATTATTCAAATGTTTTGCTTCATACGGAATTGTCGACTTTCTTCTTTTTTTGCGGCGGCAACGGCGTCAGTTGTTTCTCCTCGCGCTCCTGCAACGCCATTTGGGCTGTCGATCGTTTGACCACCTGCGGCACACATGTATTCCGTTTGCGTCCGCGTTTTCGTGGCATTTTTTCCTTGGGGATCTCATTGTCTGGGCTGCTTGTGACAGCTGATTTTGTTTCGTTGGGGCATTCTTGTTCTTTAACAGATTTCACAGATTGTATATGTTTATCAATTTCTAATTTTTTAGTCTCTTTAGTCTCTAATATTTCGGTTTGCGTCGACGCATTCACTTTGAGCGTCTTTTGTTGTTGTTCATTTATAGAGCATTGTTTACACTGATTAGGATTCAAGATAGCCGACTTATCATTACGACCGTTGATAGCGTCAATTACGCGCTGCTGCAGGGCCTTGTCGGGCAGGCGCATAAGCAACTTGAATATATCCTCGTATATGGACTGAAAGGATTTGCGCTGCATATATGTGTTGGTGATAACATTGGTTGGCATATGCATAATACGCACGCTCGAAGAACTGATTATGGGCGGAGTTGTGGCACCGTTTGGTGCTTTTTTCATAATATCTGGCGTAGACACACGAACGTGCTGCGATTTCGTTAATAACACTTTCTTCATCATTGGCACTTGATTACGAACTGCGGAGCGTTTTTTATACGTTTCTATGCTTGTTGTTTCTTTCGGGGGATATCTCGTTTTATTTTGATGCAAATTATATTAAGTTGGTTTTTCCCCAGCACGCCTGCAATATCAATGCCGATAAATCCAATTGCAGAGTTACTAACGATTTATCGTTAAGCAAATTGCGTTTTGCAGCACTGTTCGAGAATATTTCAATTTGGAACGGTAGATTATGCGCTTCTATCGATAGAATCGAAACAGATATTTGCATATTTTGTTCAATTGATGACATACAAAAATACAATGCAAAATTTATTTAAATATTGAACGCAGCTTTTTATCATGTTTAATTCAAATTGGAGCGGTAAGCTGCGTTGCTTCTTCTTCGCTGCGAATAATTAGTATTTGCTCCTGTTCTAATCGATAACAAAAGCAAGCATTTTGTGTGAATGGCAAGAGCAGGCCGAGATTTTTTCCACAATTTTTTTTTATTGTGCGTGTGCCTATTGTTAATTTGGCATCAAAACCAAGTGAGAAAGTTTCTATTTGAGATTTGCTAAATGAGTGAGTTGCGTGGTAATTGTTGCTAGCTAGTTGTGCAGAACACACGTTTTGTTGGATTTAAAACGAATTCGGCCCCAGGTAGGCGTAACATGGACTCGCATTCGCGCTATGGACGCAGCTTTTCTGGTGGCAGCGCTGGCGGCGGAGGCAACAATAGCGGCAACAGCCAATACAGACGCTACAGTCGCTCCCGTTCGCGTTCTCGGTAAGCACACAGACACAGACACGCTTCTGCAGGCACCTGCGTATAAAAATAGACCGAAACAATGGGCTAATTTATTTATGTTATGTGCCTTGTTGCAGGGAGCGTAACCGCGACCAGGCTGGGTACAGGCGCCGGAACTCACGTTCGCGCAGTCGCGAACGCTCAATGCATCATCGCAATGCTGGCAGCGACGATAAGGATCTGTATCGCGATCTGATTAACGATGATTACAATGAGGATCGAGGCAGCAGCTACAGCGGCTATAACAATTCGCGCAGTAACAATTATCACAGTCGTCGCGACGATAACTATGACAGTGAGCGCGAGCGCGAGCGTGAACGTGAACGTGATAGGGATCGGGATCGGGAGCGTGATCGCGATCGTGACCAGCGCTGGAAGAACTACGATCGAGAGCCACGTGAACGCAACTCGGACTATGAGCGCGGCATGGAGCGCAGGTAACCTCCGCTGTTCCTACATATTCTTACACATTCTTATAAGCTACCAATCTTTCAGTCGTGACTATCGCTCGCACAACAATGGCAACGGCAGCAGCGCAGCCGCCGGCAGCAGCCGGGATCGTGACAGACGATATCCCTCCGACGAGGACAGCTATGACAGCGACGAGAGCGACGACAGCCAATATCGTCGCAATCACATCCGGACCAGCAACGAGGCTCTCAATCAAATTATTATATTTGGTTTGAAAAAGCACATCACCGAGGCGGACGTGAGTAGCCCAAGCAGAGCAGTTGCTGCTAGAGATCAGTGCTGTGCACTGGGACATCCGATACCAATATATAATATTACCTAATATATTTAACAACAATGATTTAGTTTTGTGCCTAATCTGGTTTCGCATTACGGACGTAGATTATGGCGCTGTTTGCTATTCCGTTTGTCTTTCAAAAAATTTCATTTGTAAAATTTTCAATAATCTTTTGAACCTTAGTTTTCGGATTTCGAAAGATTTTGACGGATTGACCGATTCATGGCAAACAATTAATTTAACTTTTTGCTATTACAGATAATGGGCGCACTGATACAAGTGAATATGGAGCCTTCTTCTATACGGCTTATACGCAAAAGACCTACAGGTGGGTTACATTATCGAAGCTTTTTCTATTACTTAGCTTAACCATATGCAGTAAGACAAATAGCTTGAAACGGGGCGTAAGTATTACTTTTGTGTTAACTTGGCAGTAGTCCGGCAAAGTTCGCACCAGCAACCAAATTGAATATACTTGGCCTTCCATAAAAAAAAAAACCGACAACAAAACAAAAAATAAAAAAAAATAAAACAAAACATACCCAAAAATGCTACCAAAATA